CGACTTATCAGTGGCGACGGGGATGAAAACTTCAATGAATATTTCCTTGGAGCAATTAGAAGCTTATATGGTGCGTCAAGAAAAGAGGTTTGAAGAGTCCCAAATTGGAATCATGGAAACCCTGATGCAGAAATTCTGCCTGTCCGAGAAAAACCCTGCTTCTAGTGAATCTCAAGTATCACATACTGATTCAGTCATTAACGCCATCCATGACTTTAATTTTGATGGTGTAGCAGGTGTAACTTTCGAGTCGTGGTTTAAGAAGTATGAAGATTTGTTTTATATTGATCTTTGCAAACTGGATGATGCTTCAAAAGTCAGAATACTTCTTAGAAAACTTGGTACTATGGAACATGAACGCTATAGCAACTTCATTCTTCCGAAGAACCCACGAGATTTTAGTTTTGATGATACAGTCAAAACCCTATCCCAAATATTCGGAGAACAATCATCTCTATTTAATATCCGTTACCAGTGCTTAAAGTTAACAAAAGAACCAGGAGATGATTGGGTAAAGCATGCAGGAACGGTGAACCGAGAATGTGAGAGGTTTAGATTGGCATCCATGTCTGAAGATCAGTTTAAATACTTAGTGTTTATCTGCAGCCTGCGTTCACCCGAAGATGCCGATATCCGAACCAGACTCCTAAGCAAACTCGAACACTGCCCTAATATGACCCTGCAAGAAGTGACTACTGAGTGCCTAAGGTTAGTAAACTTAAAGCATGATACCTCAATGATAGAAAACGGTAGCTCTTTCCGTAACGTCAATGCAGTTAAGAGAAAAGTCTTTCAAGGTTCCAGTACCCATAATTTCCAAAATAACAGCGACAAACCACCATCTCCATGCTGGGCATGTGGAGGTTGGCACTATAAGAGTTTTTGCCCATATAAAGAACATCGTTGCAGCAAATGTCATCGGAAGGGGCATAAAGAAAACTTCTGCATGAGAAGAGACTATAGAAAACGTTCCGTGAAGTCTTACTCAAAGAAACACAGATATAGTGCTCCAACCAACAAGATATTGGTATCACATAACAGAGCACGAAGTTGCCACCAAAGAAAGTATGTGACCTTGAATATTAATAAACACCGTGCCCGTCTTCAGCTGGACACAGCTTCTGATATTACTTTAATCAGCCCAGAAACGTGGAAGAACATTAGGAGACCCACAGTTTTCCCAACAACACAGCTGGCACACAGTGCATCTGGGGGGAAGCTGAATATTGTTGGAGAAATACCATGCACTGTTTCTAAAGGTACGGTAACAACAAATGCAACATTGTATCTTACTAAGAAGCCAGCACTAGACTTAATGGGGTTGGACCTTATAGAAACACTTAAACTAGCAGATCATTCTATCAACAGTATCTGCAGACGAGTAAGTACAGACAACACCCCAGAATGGAATCAGAAAAACGCCATGCTACAAAGACATCAAAGCGTGTTTAGAGAAGGACTGGGAGAATGTACGAAAGCCAAAGCACTGTTAACTCTAAAACCTGAAGCTGCTCCCGTTTTTCGACCTAAAAGACCTGTACCCTATGCTGCTCTTCCAATAGTTGAACAAGAATTACAACGACTTCAACAAATGGGTGTTATCGAGCCTGTGAACTTCTCGAATTGGGCTGCACCAATAGTGGTGGTCAAGAAGTCGAATGGAAGTGTTCGTTTATGTGCAGACTACTCCACGGGATTAAATGAGGCGCTACAGTCTCACCAGTATCCGTTACCCTTACCAGAAGATCTTTTCGCTAAACTGAACGGTGGCAGATATTTTGCAAAATTGGACTTATCAGACGCATACCTACAAATTCCTGTATCTGATGAAAGCAAAGATCTCTTAACGATCAACACGCACAAAGGTCTGTTCCGGTATAACCGACTACCTTTTGGGGTAAAGACAGCGCCCTCTATTTTCCAGCAAATTATGGATACCATGTTACAAGGTATTCCAGGAGCTGCAGCTTACCTAGACGACATCATAATTACGGCAGTAGATAAAATGGACCTGCAGAAGAAACTGGACCAGGTACTAGAACGCATAGCTGATTATGGTTTTCGCCTCCGGGCGGAAAAGTGTGACTTCTATATGCAGCAAGTACGGTACCTTGGGTTCATAATAGATAAAGACGGAAGACGTCCAGATCCAGAGAACATTGAAGCAGTGAACACAATGCCTAGACCCAGGGACGTTACTACCCTACGATCGTTCTTGGGATTGGTCAGTCATTACGGTACCTTTCTCCCCGATCTCCATTGTCTACGTGCTCCACTAAACAACCTACTACAAAAGAACACAAGATGGAATTGGTCTGCAGACTGCCAAGCATCTTTTGAGAAAATCAAGCAACTCCTAACTTCCGATCTCTTATTGACACACTATGATCCTTCTCTACCGATAGTCGTCGCTTCAGATGCTTCTAACTATGGTGTGGGCGCAGTTATCTCTCACATTTTTCCTGATGGGTCTGAAAAAGCTATCTCACACGCTACCAGATCTCTGACAACGACCGAAAGGAACTATAGCCAAATCGAGAAAGAAGCCCTATCAATTATCTTTGCAGTGAAAAAGTTCCACAAGATGATATATGGTCGACATTTTACCCTAATAACAGACCATAAGCCACTACTTGCAGTTTTTGGGTCAAAGAAAGGAATTCCTGTTCATACAGCTAACCGACTACAACGATGGGCGACCACGCTTCTGGGTTACGACTTCAAGATTAAGTATCAGTCTACTACCGCTTTCGGGCAAGCTGACGCATTGTCGAGATTAATAGGCTCTCAATCGAAAACCCCGGAGGAGACTCTTGTAGCAAATATAAAAGCCGAGGAAGAAGTTCATCGCGTGTTGGATGACGCAGTTAATGGACTCCCAGTAACCTTTGAAACTATCAAGAAGATAACTGAAAGTGATAAGATACTGAGCTCAGTTAAATGCTATCTCTTGACCAAATGGCCAAACAATCGCCTTGACGGAGAACTTTTGCAATATTTTCGTCGACGGGACTCTCTAATGGTTGTTGACTCCTGTATTATGTTCGGTGATCGCATTGTTATTCCGAAGTTATTACGTCACAAGGTTCTCAAGCAGTTTCACAGTGGCCATCCTGGAATCAGTAAAATGAAATCTTTGGCTCGTAGCTATGCTTATTGGCCGTCAATGGACAAAGATATCGAAAATAAATGCCGTAACTGTTCAGCATGTATTCAAGCCGCTAAAAATCCTTCGAAATGCGAACCTCAGTGTTGGCCTATGCCCGCGGGACCCTGGGTAAGACTTCACGCAGATTTTGCCGGTCCAATCCAAGGGAAAATGTTTCTAATTATCGTAGATGCATTCACTAAATGGCCGGAAGTATACATCATGCCAAATTGTACAACGTCAGAAACGATCCGCAAGTTGTCTACCCTATTTAGCAGTTTCGGAGTACCAGAGACCTTAGTGACGGATAACGGCTCTCAGTTTGCCGCAGAATCGTTTAAACATTTCTGTAGAACAAACGGAATAAATCATCTTCGTTCTCCACCCTATCATTCACAATCAAACGGACAAGCAGAGCGCTTTGTGGACACTTTTAAACGAGCATTACTGAAAGGGGGAGGAGAAGGGACGACTGAGCAGGTGATCATAAAATTTCTAACATCATACAGATCCACCCCAAACCCAAATGTTCAAGACGGCAAATCTCCCGCGGAAGCCATGTTTGGAAGGCGTATTCGAACAGTCTTTGATGCCATGTTGCCATCCAAACTAGTGGATGAGCGTAGTCGCGACCCAAGTATCCGGAACTTCAGTATTGGCGACAAAGTCTACATTAAATCCTACATCGGGAAGAACCGATGGGAGCCGGGCGAAGTGGTGCAAAAACTGGGAAGAGTACTGTACAAAGTTCGAGGAGCTTTTGGGACATGTATATGTCACACAAATCAAATCCTTAAGGACAAAAGAACGGTGCAGACTGGAAGTAACCGGCCGACTTTCCCGTTAGATTTAATCTTAGACGCACCAATGCCACAAACGCCCAGGAACACTGTAAAGTCTTGGACAAGAAAGACGACAAGAATAATGGGACGCCGACGCAATCCAGTTATCAAACTACAAGTGGATCCCAGAAAGAAATCTTATTCGGGGGAGGTGTTGGGTCGGCTTCCGGAGAACTTCAACGGAGCCTCCAGAGGCCCACAAGGAGCCGAAGAGTCTTGGCCAATCAGAGTGTGATGGAACGTTCTAGAATTCCAACGTGGCGTGCTACTATTGGTCGGTAGCATAATGTGTTGTTATCGGATTGGCTGTAAAATGATGTTGATTTAACAGATCCCAAAATCTATAAATACCCATGATTTTCTGTACAAAAATGAACCTTGGAATAAAGTGCTTTCTCTCATTCTTGTGTCTTCTCTCTGGAGTTCAAGTCGCTGTGTAGTTCTAGACTACGGGTTACCGAAATAGCTTAGGAATCGTATATAGCGTTCAACCTACACGACTTATCATTACCCAATATTTTTCTCGTTATAACAGACAGTAAACCTTAACTAACAAATCTGTCTAGTAAACTTTCATGATAATTTAATGCACAACATTTTTTTAATTTATTTATTAGGTTATTGATATATTAGAAAAACAGTGAATGTCAGTAGATGAATAAATCTTCATTATTTTTATAGCATAGAGAAAGCTAACATAATCAGACTAACATGATTTGTTTTCTATTGAAAGCAAGTATGAAAAAATTATGTTTTCTTTCTTGTTGAGAATGTTGGATATAAAGATCCTAGTCTTATTGGATTCTTAGAATAATCTATGTAGTTTAATTAACAATGTTAGTTGTTTCAAAAAATGCACATAACGTGTTCTTCATTATTTATCTTGGTTAACATTTGTTTTCCTTGTAACATCGGGTCGTAAAATGACTTAAAGAAGGAGGAGGGTCTTGTAAATACTCCATGAGTTGAAATCTATGATTCAGGTAATTTATTTTTCCTTCTGCTTTTAGATTTAGCAGCTACTGGCGGAAAATACTTTTTTAATTTAGTCAAAGAAGGTGATAGTGTAATGTTTGCAACAGATGATGAAAATGAACGTCAACTGTGGATACAGGCAATTTATCGTGCTACTGGTCAAACACATAAACCAGTACCACCGTCAAAAAATATAAGTGGAAGTAACAATAGTAACTTGCAAAATGTTAATCTCAATCCTGACAATAAATCATCGTCGGCTACCTCAATACTAACTTCTCGTGGTAATACTTCCAGCATAGGAAGTAGAACTCAAGGTGGTGAGTAAAAGTATATATTATGCATTGTGTGTTTTATATCTTATGAAAAGTGTTATCCTATCCTTAAAAATGAAAGTCAAGAGAAAGTTTCTAATACATAGGATTTTTAGATACTTCGCTAAACTTGAAGTTTAATTTTTTTTCAGACTGACAATTAACTACGCATACTAAATTAAATCGACTCAAATGATTATAATTTCGAGAAAAAGTACTGACAGTAAATATTATTGACAGGTTGAACGAAATTCAGTCAAACGTATAGTATCCTGAAACCGGAATTTATATGTATCACTGTAGTCATTTATAAACTGTGTTATTGAGTGTCTCCGGTAACCAGTTTTTTTTATTTGAAAAGCTTTTTCAGGAAGTCTACTGCATTGTTGATTCTTCTGACCCACTATCTTGGATACTGATATGATGTAACAAAGAAATCGTTCATTACAAGGACGAACCAACTGGTCCGTGTTTTTTTAGCTAATACCTATCAGCTTGAACATTAAAAGAACGTTGTGAGAGGTAATCAATATCCAACAGACATCTTATGAAATGAACAACCTCCTTAAATATTAGATAATTAAAAAAACATCCTGATTAGTCAACAATAGCTGTTTTAGGATTAAGTGAATTAGCACTTAACTAGTAAGTTCATGTTATCATGTAATAAATTGTTTCAATGACAGCTCTCATATCAGGTAGAACTTTGATCCATGAATTATTGATGCAGAAAGTTTCATATTATTACCAACGAATATTTCTCGTTATTATTATTACGTTTTATAAACTTTTTAATATTTCGTATTCTTTTTCATTGACATTGAATTGTCTTTTATCTTCATTGCATTTTTAGATGTGGATCGTGCACGTAAACATGGTCTTGATGAATTTGTCAGTGTTGAACCATGGAAAGTGAATCATGCTGAATTATTTGCTTTATTACAATCAAAATCACTAGATTATCGTATGAAAGATTCATATGTATCACTTGGTTGGTTTAGTCCAAGTCAAATGTTTATATTAGATGAATATTGTGCACGTTACGGTGTACGTGGTTGTCATAGACATTTATGTTATTTAAGTGATTTACTTGATCGAGCTGAACAAGGCATAATTATAGATCCAGCTATTGTACATTATTCATATGCATTTTGTTGTTGTCATGTATTCGGTAATACGTAAGTAATTCATTTTTGCAATTATTATTATTAATTCAAATTTATTATTAAATAAATTCCTTATTGAAAATGTAACGTATACCGCTAAGATTGTGCTTATATTAAAATCACATCAAGACTGACTGTTTAGTCGTACACACCTACCTTGGACAATTAATATATATACAGTTAATGGGGTATCCATTTTAAATAATAGTTTCATATAGTTGCAAAGTAGAATCACTCAGTGAGATACTTCATGAAACCTAGTTTTTTCTTCTTATTTTTTCGTACTTATCCATAAGTTAAGTGATGCAGAGATAAAAGCAATTAAAATACACTTAATTCAACTAAAATCCCATAAGATTATAGGTAGTATTTAAATTCACAGAACTATTAAAATAATTCCAAAAACAAACAAAAATCCTCTAATAAGATTTACTTAAAGTCGGAAGCACCAAAATATAATCCCAGATTCGTTTGCATCAAATTAATTCTCTTCATATATTTACGTTAGACAATTATTCTAGTCACTGTGGTATTTCTACATGTAAAAATTGAACTGATGGTAATGATTTGACTTCCTCTATATGTTTCCTTCAGTACAATTCAATGAATCAGATGAACTTATTAGTTCTTACACTTCGCATCACTGAATCGTGAAATCTAATTTCCTTACTTTCTATTTGGTTTTTTTTGTTATGGTTACGGGTAATTTTCCAATGTTTCTTTTTGAATAAAATTGTAATAATTAAGCTTTGTTACAGTTTCTATTTAATCCTATTCTTTTCATATGAGCTACTGAAATTATTTAGGTAAATATAACCAGTCTAAAGTCAAGTTATTTATATGATTAAGGATAGTTATTATTCTGGTGGCGTTTTGTTCTCTGAGTCGCTTAGAGAACAAAACGCCACCAAAATCATCCACCTGAGCTACAAATCTACTCCACCATCTCATAGTTATTATTCATTTGAAAATAAAACTATTTTAAAGAATCCACTCTAATAGTCATCAGGATTGTGAAAGAATTTTTAAAATTCTCGAAATCAGTATTTTTGATCATAAATGGTATATCAACCTGCACAAGCTTTCTGGGTAAAAAGTAAAGTATAGAAATGATTCGTTTAGAATTGTGGAAACCATACCTTGGTATTTGTTCTAAATTCAAATTTAAATGCACTTTATTTTGTGTTATGTTAAAAACGCATTAGTAATACATTTCTAGAACACCCATAACGTTTAAAGTGATGGTGAAAATCATCTTTGCCATCATAGAATAAACGGGATTGTTTGAAATATATCGAATCCTCAATTTTTGCTATGCAGATTGCTGATAATACCCAAACCAACCAAATATCTGTTTCCTAACCTTAAACCGTCAACTCTAAACCTCTAGCTATAACCAGTAATGATGTAGGGTGTTCTGTAAAACCCTTTTAGGGTGTGATAAGACTGATGACTTTTTTGCCCTTATAAATAAATTTATATGTTGTGTTTTAGATTTAGAGAATAAATAGGGTTTAGAAAACTTCAATAATTCTATCAATCATTTAATTTTGTTAATCCTCTGTAATATTATCGATTACTTTTCATTAACTATTCTTTTATAAAGCCTGTTTTCTCATTAACTAACATCTTGCCGAAATTTATCGCTGTTACTTCAATATCGTCTCTATACTACACTCTTACTACTCCTGTTATTGTTCGAATGTGCTCTTATTCAGTAATACAGGAGTAAATAAAATATCAAGTAATATTGTCTAATTTTTCATTTCTTTGCTTTGCTTTTTGTTTACTAAGTCAAGATACAAATATCCGAACTGTTCTAGTTGATGAACGTCAAATGTTCATGGGGATTCGTCAACGTCTTTATGCTCTTTTAGAAAAACAAATTACAGAGTTTCGTTATTATTTTCCTTTTGGACGTCCAGAAGGTGCATTGAAATTAACTCTGGGATTGTTAGAAAGAGTGAGTTAATGACTAGCATTCATATTTTTGCTATGATATTATTATATTTTGAATTGTCTAAATTTTGGTAGTTACACTTTTATAAAATACATTTACGTTCAATACGTCAATTTTTTTATAGAATATTTATTAAAACTAAACTGGTGTATAGTTAAGAAGTGTATATGTTCACTTACAAATTAGTTTTCCTTGTACCATAATTCAACGCTTGCCATCTCATCTAGCCTATAAACATTTTTTTACTGTCAGCTTCCAGTCTAAGAATGCGGATTATTTCTGCATTTATCAATGAAATTACAATTCTGTAATAGTTTTGACTTACTATTATAATGAACTAATGAAATCAATTTTTCTGCATATATTCCTCATATTTTTCACAAGCATAGATTAGATATTAAAAGTTGACTTTGATATCAGCATTTCCGGACTTTCTTTTCCAAAATGACATTACCATTAAGAATCATACTACTAAATTGTGTGTAATAATTGTTGGACTGTTCATTTTTAACATATTTTCAGTTGTGGTAGATTTAACCGCATTCCGATAACTAGTCGTCTGCTGAAATGACTAATACAGTAGGGTTAGGGATTTATCTATTACAAAAAAATTAATCAGCTCCTTACTAATTATGGTTTCTATCATGTTACAGTATAACATGCTGTTCAAATAAGTACATGTAAGCGAAGCACAACTTTGTTTATTTCAATAATAAACAGACAAAGACTTGTTTCTTAATATTTAACACTGTCTATATATATATTAGGTCTTTCTTATTATGACGATTAGTTAGTAGTCGGTTATCTATGTTGATATTTATTAGTGACATTTTTATTTATTTTTTCCAGATACATTGAACATAAGATTTTTCTCAGTTGAATTAATCGTTGATTAGATTTAATTGATAAAATATCTGTCTGTTAATAAATTGTCTCTTGTTATTAATATGAACATATGTACTTATTAGTAATGAATATGTTTCTTATTGTAGGTCCTTATGAAAGATACCGGTGCTCCAGCTTCAGCTGAAGAAGTACGCGAAGTAATAAGGCGATGTTTGGAACAAGCTGCTTTGGTAAATTATGCTCGTATATCTGAATATGCAGCAATTGAAAGTAAGCGTAGAACTCTTATTTGTGTCTCAAATTTAATTTCAACTGTTGTTTTGGACATAATTATCTACTTTAGTTTCTGTCATTGATTTAGTATTGAAGTAAAATGTAAGTAAATGTAATCTATAGTTACATTAAAGATTGAAGATCCGTTGTTGTAATTTACTGATGTATCATTTTACTGCTACATAGTCGAAACTTAACCTAGCCAATAGCTCTTTGTTCTCTATCGCGACTATCTGTGAATATGCAGTTTGTTTACAATTATTTACTTACATAGATTTAAGTGTCACTAAATTAATAAGTGAATAAATTTCCATAATTGCTTGATGAAACTCAGCAAATCTGGGTTTTTTTACAGTACTCGTTCAGCTACTCACATGATAAAAACACATACTTAGAAGTGTTTTTTTTAATTGCCACACAGGTTTAATTTTATCGTTCTTAAAAAATTTAAAAAAGTAGTAATACCTATAATTTTAGCTATTTCCTGTCCTAATCCATTGATATATTATATGATGCTTTGTAATAGTATTAGTTTATATGCTGGATTAATTAATGGGAAGAATATTTTCATAGAGATAGTAAGTTGCTCATCATCCTAATAATTATTGATTTCATCAATTTTGTGAGTTAATCAGTGCTTATCGGATTTTTTTCTGAAACTATGACCATTATTTTCTTTAACAATTTTTTTCTTATGTCTAAATGACTAAAGACAATTATCTTTACTTCATTTATTTGATCACGTTAGATTAAGAAAAGATAACGTTGATAAATAAGTATTAGTATAGTCTTGACACATCAAGTTTTTTATATGTATACCATCTGAACAAAATACTTCGTTTCCAATCATTAGGTCTGTTACATTCTGAGATTTTTATTTTTCTGTTCACTTAGTGAGTAGTTCGTGCATATTGAAATTTGGTTTTAACTTAATACTTCACTCCATCAGTAAATGAATATAAGAGATCGAAAATGCCTGGTACAACAAAGTCAACATTGAAAACTCTCCAGATAATCTCAGGCATTATATCATGATAAAATTACTTTCAATGAACGATTATTTTGATGATTAGTTAAACAGAATTTTTATGCTTTTCTATTTATATCATGGAAATTTATACACATGTGAATAGAACCTCAACATTTATTTATTACTTATTTATTTGAACACATGAATACTGGTACAACGGGGTGCCAGATACATATGCGCCATACAAATCTCATTTGGTATGTGTGAAGACTGTGATACTGCCTGAATGCTCGAACCGAAGCACGTGGTTTTCTCAGGGGGCCACACACGGAGCCTTCGACTTGAAGGTCTGATCCACAAGGCAATGAAACAACGTAAGGAGATGCAGTCCCATGGTCGCCGGTGACCAACGATCGGTTCATACGCCATTTGCTCCTTCAGGATCGTGGAGCCCATGTGCACCATTGGTTTGGAATCAGGGTTTTCCAATTCCCCTAGGCGGACTCTCAGTGTCCACTAACCCGGTTAAAGCGCCGGACATTCACTTTTCGTCCTGTCAACTTTGTAAACAACACCCTCGCCACGAGAAGGCAGTGATTAGGACTTCTCTGGTAGTGGCTATTCACGCATGTCCATGTGAAAGCACTTGGATAGGGAGAGCGGACTCTCCTCACCCTTGGCCGTACCAGGGCATTCGGGGGCATCAACCTCAACAGTTTTTAAAAATTAAAACCTCCAATTTATTTTTTCATCAGTTCTGTACAAACTAAATCAATTTTTATATCATAGTTCTTTAGGACATTCTAAGCACTTTAATTAATTTCTATTCATGCAGTATTACTACCGTTATCAGTTACTTATTTATATTACAATAGTTTGTGTTTAGAACGTCTAAATGAATTGATATCGTTTTGTGAAAAACGTCTAGCCATCATTGCATTAACGTTATATTTCCGTAAAAACCAGCTTTTAGAAGGAAAGTTTGTATTTCTGAGCAGCGTTTGAACCATATACTGAGCTGTCAATCGCTTAATTTCTTTTTTGGGAAAGAAAATCATTTCAGTCCATTTAAGATGCGTTGGATTGAGGAGAATAAATTCAATGGATCATTATGGAATGGAAACAACATCGAGTGAATACTAATACACGCGAAGTGCTTACGTCTTCTACTCTAAAACTTGTTGGTTTCGTTAATAAGTATGAATTACTTCAAATTCCGTTCGTTTGAAGTCAACTTCAAAGTTATTTCTGTTATTGCTGACACCACCGGTAGTCGCAGCTGTGTAACACAGACTTTCAAGATTTTCTGATTAGTATAACTAAATTCTTGTTTATAAACGCTGTATATTAGGATCGTTTACAAATATATATGCAAACAATTTATTGTCTGTAGGGTATCTTGAAAACCTTTTGATCTGAAAAATAGATTTTATAGGGATATTGTAATATTAATATACGGTCGCGCGCATGAGTTATCACAGTAAACAAATCTTTATATTAGGTGTGAAAATCGGATACAATCTTTGCAAAGTTCTTTAAATATGCTAGAATTTCGCACATGAAATAACTGTTATACATCTTAAATGTAGATTTCTAAGTGAACGTTTCTGTAATTTCATTCACTAACATGAGGCAAAACAAAATCTTGAAATAATTTCAAAAATTCCTATGGTACCTCAATGTAGAAAATTCGTTCGGTTTGTGCTTTTTTATGTATAATAAGTGTTTGGTGACTTTATTTCAATTGAAATTATGTATTTTGTTATTCTTTTTGTATACATACGTTTTTACAAAAAGTTTTCAATCCATACATTTACCAATCTAACTAGATCAGTAAACATTTCTCATAAAAAATCACAAGAAAATGTGATTATTTAGTACTTGAAATTTTATTATGTAACATTGTATACTTTGTGAAGTCTCTGGAGAATTATCTAAAATTTAATTACTGTGATAGTTACTAAATCAGATCATTCAAGTACCTATCAAATTATTATATTTCAATGTCTTCTTTTTATTGTCAATAACACTGATATATGTATTTCAGTTATTTTATTTTGCTTTTTTGTACAGAACTTGTATTTCTTTCTTGTTATTTTACTGATTATAGTCATATTAATTGATCAGTTAAACCATTCTTTTGTATGCACATCTTCACCTTTCTTATGATAGGCTTCGTTTGCAATCTGAAAACAAAAATATTATTGTAAACTTTAATCACTTTGATATCTCCGTACTTGTCATTCATTCCTCTTTATATACATAAGCTGGTCACAGCTTTAAATAATTGATAGCTATTTTATATTTGTTTTCTTCACTATATTAGGCGGTCGTGATAAAGGTGGTGAATATTCACAAACAAGTAGTAAGTTGATTGAAATACAATAATTTTATTACAATAAACATTTTATTGGAAATAAATTACATAAATAGCATTCGTTTTGTAACGGTTTTTTAAAGCGTCAAAGTATGTCTTCAGAAGTCAGAATTTCAGTCAAATTAATTCAATAATTATTTATCAAATTATTCAACGTTAAACGAAGGATTCAGTTGTCTTGTTTAATTAGTTCTCATCTCTTCTCTTTTTGTTTTTAATAAAAATATGTTTTAGTAAGCGTTTAGCAAAATACATTTTAGTAGGCTTGGTTGATTATGCTGTTCTACAGTTATCGTACTTAATAGATTCAAAACATCGACTTTAAAATGTAATTCATTAACATTTTGAATTATTATCTTTATTCCTCAGCAGAACCTCAGATTCTATACTGTTGATCGGTAAGATTGCAGGCATTTTTTAAAGGCGCCTTATAACAAGATCAATCAATAAACTATCGTTGATAAAAAGCTATACAAAATCCCAATTTGTCCTGATAGAAACGATATTGGGAACTAGGTCACTCAAAATTGATAATGTCATCTCATATTCAATTTAGTTATGTTACAAAATGTTGGATTCGACACTACTTAGTTTGACTAAAAGTCTGTACTTTATATATATTGGTTATGTTCTCTTCCGCTTTTAAGAGGCCTAAAAATGTAAGATAAAACACTAACATATAACTCATGTTTGTACTGACATTTTTTCTCCTTCTTATTTTCTTCATCTATCTATTTAGGTAAGACTTTGGCTGACCTTATTCACCTGGGTGAATTGTGTATTGAGGTACTGCGTCAAAATGAAGAACATCATGCAGAAGTATGTTATATATATATATATATATATATATATATATATATATATATATATATATATATATATATATATATATATAACGACATAATTTCTTGTTAATTTGAATATGCACATGTCATTTTCGTGCTGAATAAAATATAATACGGTGCTGTTCAGCCAAGCAGTGCATCAAGAACAGTCAATGTGAACTCAGCCTAATGATTCTTCTTCTTTCGAAATCATTACTATGAATACACCAGGGACATCGTTCTCAATCACTTAAATCTTCAAGTAAATAAGCCATTGAATCCTGTGAAGATATGTCGTCAACTGGATGACGTTAAGAACCAGTCATATTCTAATCATGGGTGTGAATTGAAAGACAACTATACAATTTTATTAGATTATAGAGGTTTTTTGTTCAGTTTAATGCAGAAAAGGGAAATTAAACACTCCCACTCTTAATTATTAAAATAATATATTTGTAGTATCCCAATGAGTAGAGAAATTAAATTTATTAAAATTTTCTGACGTTTCTTGATTCAGTGTAAGCCACTTCTTCAGTGAACAAAAAATTAACTAGTATAATTTGAGTGTTTCTGGAAGTTGATTCAACTTGGATGTCTATAGGTTGACTTGACAAATACTTTGTGTTATAATCTCTTTCTTCTTACGGTTATGACCCAGCTATTCCTATTGCTTAGTATTCTCGGACACCGATTCACTCGACAAGTCCCCAAATCAAAACACGGTTGAACAGGAAAGAGATTATATTCCAAATAGCAAGTCAGAAGCCAGTAGGAAGCACAATAGGGGAAAACGTCGGTATATTTATAGTTTTTACATAAGAAGATTCCAGAATATTCTCCGACTATCGACTAGTGCTAATTGGATAAGAATCAGCCAATCAGCGTGCACCAAAGCAATCATGCATTGAGCATGCTTTAATCTAGTCTATGTCCCGCTAACACTTTGCATGATTATTTCGTGGTAGATAGTTTGGTACGTTATATCATTCTTCAAAAGAGATAAAACGTACAACTCCCATACCCGCCTAACCTTTTTAGCCTTTTGGATATATTTAAAAAACATTATTTCATGATAAATCATGTTTTTAGTAGAATAAAAGTTTATCTTGATATTTCTTGTTTGATAAAAGATAAGCAATAAATACTTATTTGACTTTATTTATAAATTTCCTCCTTTGCTTACCAATATTTTGTTTTTTTATTTCACAAATCGCCTTGACAAATATATGTGCGACCAGATTGTTCGAAATGTGTAGCACAAATGCATCACATTTTTCAGATCAACTCCGTCTTCTCATTGCTCTATCGGAAGAATATAAGAGTATTAGAACTATTAATATTTCCATCATTGCTCTTCTGTATACTGGATTTGAACTGCTACTAATCAATGATTCATAATAATATGTTGAAGGATTTTATACATCTTTTACAAATTTTTTCCTTCTCTTTTCGTGCATCGCGTTTTTTATCTTCTGCTTATTAACCTTTTTTTCAAAGTGGAGATAGAAATATAAAGGCTCTTTTTTCTTTGCTTACTCTCATTTTATGTTTTCTTTAAAGGTCAGTGAACACAAGTTGAAAAGCTGTTGATTATCAAACGACAGCACTATTGTTTTTACGTGCAAAATTAATCTACAACTGTTTTCCTTTTTTTTGGTTCTTGCTTATTACCTCTTAACCATGATATGGAAATATAAATAAAAGGAATAGGGATCATGTATTGTGATAAATGGGATGTGAAAATTTTTTATCCATATCATAAAATTGTAATTTTTTCACGTTAAGACTCATTTTCTTTTTTAAATAAAATTAGTTTATCACTCCAATTGGTTTTGGTCATTTAAGAACAAATTTTTTTAAAATTAGGAGCTACTAATTAATCCTGTCATTTTATTGTATTAATTGATAATCAACTGTGAAAACTCATGATCGGTCACAATAGAATGATGCGTTTATGTTTTTCACTTCGACACTAATTATTCCTGTGAATTTTCTTGTGGAAACGTTGTTAATAAACGATTTGTTTAAATATTCTCTTCACCGTGTATATTTATCATATATTTATTCTTCTTGTTATTATTTTAATTATTGTTTTCCAGGCGTTTTCATGGTTTCAAGATTTGCTAACTGAACATGCAGAATTGTTCTGGAATTTTTTCTCAGCCGATATGGTTGGTGTATTAGAAACAATGCCACCCGATTGTTGGGATAGTTTTCCGTTATTTCAACTATTAAATGATTACCTAAGTTCAGAAGGTTTGTGTTCATTTCACTTCAGTTACAGGTTCATTCATATATTTCTGTTTTGTATTAAACGCTAGTAGGATTGAAATTTGTATTATTTATCATTGTTATGTATAAATTACTTGGTTATTTCAAGATATGTTTGTCATCTTTGGATGTATATCAGTATTATGTATAGACATTTGTGATCAATATTTATCTTTATTTATTTATCTTGTGTAAATTTGGCGGTTCTCAAATTTGGTTTCATATGGTAAATAAAGTTTAATTATTTAGGTTTGTTAGATTTACACTGTATATAGTTTGCTTAAAAAAAGATTTCCTTTATTTCTTTTATCATCGAAGCACAACTTTGCTAGTATTATAGTTTATCGTAGATTTAAAAAACACAAATGATTTTGATGGAATTTTGTTCTCTGAGCAAGCCATCCAGCTCACAGAACAAAATTCCATCAAAATAATCCAACTGAGCTACAAATCTTCACCATCTCAACACGAATGATTTGGATAATATAATATTGTGTAGGAAATTATTTTTAAAGGTGTCATTTGTCACATAGAACGCTGCTTATTTATTTATATCTAAATGTATTCCACTAATGCCTTTTTGATGGTATGTCTGATATGTGCATGCTACTTTAAGCCTACTTGATATTGCATATGGTTTAATTTATTCTAATGTTTACAACTGCAGGAAGGTGAGAAAAGGGTTATCTTTAGCTGACGACTTTGTTTGCTATACGGAAGGTGGTCAGTTATTTTGAACTTTGAACTACCGACGTTCCTGTATATGTGAGGGTCGAACAGAAGGCGAAATGATCTACTATGTACAAGACCATTGTTTTGCCCGTGTGTTTTTCGCTTCCAATTATGAATCTATAACTGCCAAGAATTTCGTACCTTTATGATTAAATGTCTCATGAAGATAAATCAAATCCCTTAAATATAAAGATTCTTGCTGATCAAATTTTGCTTTTCTAAAGACTTGGTTTAATTTTTGTTTCGCTCGAAATCACTTTTAACCTACGTGATTTCTATTATGGATTTGTGTTTCCTAACCTTTTCAAGCACTATCAGTTTTAAAATAGTTGTTAGTAACGGAAATAAAGATTTGTTAATGTTCTAAATTATGTACATGTATAGACCTTTAGCCAATAATAGTATGTAATACACCATGTTTAAAAGATTGTCGTTTGTAAGATATACATTTCGGTCCACTTCCAGTTTTAAATTCAAACAAATGAATATCAGTAACTCTTTAAATATCTGATATACTACAATGGGTTATTCATCTATAATCAGATGTTAAACTGATATTCCTATATGCTTTTGAAATGATTAACGTCAAAAAGAAGAAAAAATTTTCGAACACATCAATTTTTGCTTTTACCTTGAATTCAAATTTTTCACACTAGTCGATGATTTGTTTATGAAAACACAACGCTGTATTTAAAATTGTACACATCTCTCTTCACATAATTAAGCGAATGATATTATCTATCTTTGTGCTTATATCGCATCAATATTGTTGAAATATAACATCTTAAGTGTTTCTACACAACTTGCTTTTACCACGAAGTATGTATTCATTATTTTTGACAGCTTCAGTCTTACTTTTTTTTAAAGTGAATCTGTATAATATTTACATTATAGATGTATATTACACATATTGTTTTTCCCATCATTTTAGTTTCATTAAAATCGGGAAAATTTCATCAACAACTAACACAAATATATGCACCTTTAGTTGTACGTTATGTTGATCTTATGGAGGCTTCCATTGCTCAGTCTATTAATGGTGGTGTCGACGGGCAACTAAACAATCAAAATAATACAAATAGTTTTGATTCATCTAGTACTACTGGTACAACCTCAACCACTACAGGATTCGCAGCATCCGCTTTAGAAACTGTTGGTGCTTTAGGCAATGTAGGTTCATTAGTTAGTGCAGCTGCGGTTGGTGCAGCCAATGCAGCGAATGTTGCAAGTCGCACAGGTGGTTTAATGGCAGCTGCCACTGCAGCAGCCAGTGCTGCTACACAAGCTGCAACAAATCCAACATCTATTGGTATGACAAGTTGTATACCAGTTACTTCAAGCGAATTATTATGGAAGTTAGAAGCATTGCAAAATTTTATTCGAGAACTACACTGGCCTGATATAATATTTGCTGAACATATGGATAATCGTTTAAAAATGATGGCTGGTGATATGATAGATGCTGCGGCCCAACGGTAAATTCGATCTCATAAATATTTATTTAACTCTATATTAACTTCTTTTTTCGGATATTTACTTACTGAATATAGCACACTATAGTAAAGTATTGTTTGTCAAACATGGTTATATGTGTTACCTGTTGTCCATTAACTGTGTCCTACTGATAGAATGCTTTATTGTGTATCGAGAGCAAAGGAGTAAAGCTAATATCAATACTTTTGATCTTCAAGTCTGTGCCTGTATCCATCGGGAATTAGATTATTATTTGTTGGGGACGTTAGATCCCCAGAACTCACTTGGGAAAGGACCTAATTTTGTAATTTATTTAGAAAATTTGAATTTCTTTGTTTTCACGCCAAAGGCGCTCTTGTTTTCTTTCACTCTGTTTATCATCTGTATCTATTTATATAATCATTTTGTGTTCATGCTTAATCTTTCCTCCAGTCAATGTCAGTCACTTTTATGTACATGTGTGTATATTTACCCATTCTGCGTTCATTTTTTATTAGAAATAAGCAGTAGAAGGAAAACACAAGTTTTTATGATTATCATAACGGTTGATATTTATTCAATTAATTAATTAATAATACCAATAGTAAAGTAAAATGAGCGGCATTGTTTTTATGGTTTCTGTTCATTTTTTTCTCTCAAAATTCAGCTTTTCATTTTTGGTAAAATTAATTAAAAGAGCAATCGTCTTCATATTAAATGACTTTCAATTTATTCCCCTTTTCTTTCATCGTGGAATTCATGTTTTAATTATGATTTTCTTTTTAACCCAAATAATAGACATGTTTTACTAATCATAACCATTTTATTATTCACTAGAAAAGTTTACACTTTTTTCTTCGCTTTTTTTCGTATGATATTTCTCAATAATCCAATCACCATTCGCTGTTCTGTCAATTGTACACTAGATATTCCATCATCAACTATATCTCTCTGCGAATATTTAACTAAAACTGTTAAGCAGTCAACTGACAATCACTGAGAGCTAGGGTTATCGGGGTATTTTCTATTACTGTCTAACAATATTTATGGATCGTTAGTTCGATTTTTTTTGTGGGGAAAACTGTTTCCTATGCAGAAGATCTTAAGTCGATCTTTCTAGTTGTAGCTTGATAAATAATGATTGATGATTTATATTAACAAGTTCACTTCATTTTTTATTATTATTGTAAATAACATCATATATTTTCTACAACATAACTTATTTCGTGTTTTAAACTTCTATTAAAATTCTATCAACCCTACGAATCCCTTATATTAATATTTTATTGAAAGCGATTTCGACTGATTGCTCACTTTGTTATAAGGAGTGTTATCCGTCTCGTCGTTAATGTTAATCAGATTTTATCAATTAGATTGCACTGTGACCATTAGTTTAAATAGCTGGATGTCTAAATGCAATGAGTTTGTTTAGTAGTGTTAAGTGATTATAGGTGATGGGTTAAATTTGATCAACATTAAAAATCAAATAATGTGATGTTGATGAACAAAGTTTGATCATTTCACGTAAGCATCTCGAACTTACAGGATGTTATTCTTCACCCGTACATTTTAGCGACATCCTCTCGTACTATAATACCAAGGGACGTGGATTTAAATACCATAGCAAATGTCAGTTCTTTCAAGACTGTATTTACTTGTCATGTTCTTCAGTATTAACGAGAATTAAACTTAGATCCTGGACCTTATCAATTACCTGTAATCACTTGATATCAAAAATGAAAGCAATTTCTTAGTTTTAAATAGAGCAAGAACAAAGATTGGTGCAGAATAATATGAATTCATTTTATTTCGTTAGGTTCTCATCAGCTGCTTACAACCTAAATTATTTGAAATTTCAAATTATTACAGATATTGACATATTTATACATAAGAGTGTGATTAAGGATCAATACATGTGTATGATGATGTAGCGAAGATTCAGATTCAAAGAACATATTCCGAAAAGTTTAAGGTTAAATGGATTGAACGCATTCAACAGTGCTATCGCAAGACATCTCCTTGATACAGGACATAAAGCTGATATACTGAAGTCCTTCAAGGTGATTAACGAACAATCAAACTCGAACCTTTTGAAATTCGCTGAAGCGTTAGCAATCAAACGCTTAAAACCAGATCTATGTATACAAAAAGAGACAGTAATAAATCTTTCTTTACCCTGGTAACAATAACCCCCACTCTTTCTATTAATTTGCTCCTATTTATTTATTTATTACGTCATTATTGCAACTCTTTCTGAAATATAAATTACATCATACATAAATGATTGATTTCAATTCATATTTTCTTTATGACCATTAATCTATTTTCATGAGTTCTAATCACTATTTCAATGTTCCAGAACTTTCCCTCTCAAACTTTATTTATTTATTCGAATCAAACATTTTATGAGCTCATTAACTCTATCTGAATCTTTGCTTGCTACATCATCATACACATGTATTGATCCTTAATCACAGTCTTATATATAAATATGTCAATATCTGTATTAATGTTGAATTTTCAAATAATTTAGGTTGTAAGCAGCTGATGAGAACCTAACGAAATAAAATGAATTCATATTATTCTGCACCAATCTTTGTTCTTGCTCTATTTAAGATAATAAAGGGAACTATGTGTATGAAATTTCTTAGTTGTTCATCTCTTCGCTTATTAACATGGAGATCTGTTTATATTCTCTTGACCATCTATTTATCTATCTGCTAGATTATTGCAATAGTATCTACTATTTTCTATTTACTATAATTGGATAACAATACAGATTTTTTCCATTGCTTTTTCATAAAAGTTCATAATTTTGGGCCACATTGATTGTTGCTTAGCTAAAGTGTAAATATCTCCTCAAATGGTGCATTTTCCTTCTTTACTCTGATATATCTTAACACCAGTACATTAGAATTCCTACTCTTCACGGCAAACCACACTACCATATCTAATGGGTTAGTAAAAATGAAATTGGTTAAAAGATCCTCACGGCTAATAATATTTAATGGTTAATTATTGTTGCAATCTAATATTCGCATAGTTTTTTTTGGATTCTAACAATAAAATGTGAAGCATCGCAAATTAGTTGTAAAATTTTCTGTTGAATATTCTTTACGTTGTTTATTTGTGAATCACATTAAGGTGACTATTTGCATTTTTATTTTTTGACTAAACTTTCTAGAAGATTTATCATCTGATTTCCTGTTATGTGACAATGTTTAGTTACATTATTTCTCAATGTATAGTTTGTTTTTCAGGAAATTATAGTATGATAAAATTACAATTAAAAAGAATGTTTATACTAATTTTGAAATCGTTTTTTTATTAATGTAAATATTATTAGTAGAACTTTTCACAAATGGAGTTTAGAATATCCATCGCTTTATCATCGAGTAACCTTTGTTTTATTTGTTTTATGTTCATGATAATGATAAAAATAGTTGTGGAAACTGTGCATGAAGATTATAGTTTCATGCAATACTATGATAATTATACACAAGGTTTAAATCTCAACTGAAAATTCAGGGAACCATATCGCTCCCTAGTTTAAACAATCAATGACTCCATACACCGATTTCAAGTTTCCAGTTCCATAACCCTCCTTTCATTTCTAAATTTGCCTACCACCAATTAACGTCAGGCTAGTCATTGTACAGTTCATGCGTTCCGCATATCCAACCACTTTAGTTGATGAAGATTCGCAGCCCAATCAGTCGATTTACCAACTCTATCTAGTTGTTTTTGCCCAGTCTCGGTGATAATCTCTCAATGCATTGAAAAAAAGTAACAAATACTACACTTTCATTGTCTACTACCTTTATAGATCATATAACAGTCTTTAATTTACAGAAAGTAAATCATCTTCCAGTGAGCTCATCATATGATAGGTTGACTGGCATTTCGTTTGGTACAGATGTGTTGCCTAGAATCGTTTACAATAAGTGCTACAATTAAATACGTTTCTATATATTACATGTTATTTTGTAAAACAAAAAGTTTAAAAGAACTAATAATATTTGTACTTTCTGCTTTCAATAGTAATTTAAATTGCTTTGATTCATGGCTGAAACGTTCATCGAAAGGCACAGATTTTATACTACCTAATGAATGCTGTAATATGATCAACACTGTGATTGAACTAAAAGCAAGTATATTGAAATTATGTACAAAAGATACTAAAGGGGAAGATATGGTAAGTCTTATTGTTGTTATTTTAAACATGAAAACTTTGTTTTTACATATTTGTGTTATTGAAAGTATAAATGTCGATGTTTTCTGTTCTTTTCTTTCAATGTTTGGTTTTGACATACTAGTTTTTAATAGGTTAACAGTTTTATCATACGTGGCATAATTAGATGTTTGTGACGTCCTTGTTGTACATATCCATGCATTAAATTCTACTCATTAGGCTTGTATCTATTTTTATGATTTCATAATATTCTTGATCAAATATGTGGATAAAATATTCCAAATAATTTGCTTGCTATTTTGAACAGTTTTTTATGAAATCTTTTGATTTCACTTCAAAAGACTTCACAAAAAATGCTTTTGATGGGGTGGCCAGACTAAAACATGGCACAAGTCCATGAAGTCACTGACAAGTGGACTGAGCCATGTTGGTAGGTGTAGACTACCTTGTTGAGATCTGCGAGATGATAGCAACCGATGGTTAGAGACGTTGAATGACATAGCTCAAAATCGTTGGCAATGGCGCAAGTGCATCCACTCTTTGTGTTCTCGCAAATTCTAATCTCCTGAATTCTTCATGTCCTGTTTTTTCCTCTTTCCAAATATATTTCCCTGGATTATACTCCTTGAGTAACATCTTTGAACTCTAATGTTTCCTATTACTGCTTATACTCTTACTACCTCTACCACTACGGGATTTGAAACGACAACCGTATTTTTGTGCTAATGTTGTATGGCAACTCGAACTGATGTACGTACGTACGAGGTTCTAATTTGTTACTGACTGACTAAAGTCTTTTGATAAGTTAACACTGAATGACATAACTAATTTAAGCCTTCCTTGTTTAAGTTATTAAAGAAAATAAATTTTCAGTTTACAATATGAAAATGATCGACTTGTCATAACGTATATTATTTTGTTATTAAAATCATTCATGATAAACTGTAAGTCAATAAACTAAATTCAAGTTACTAACTCATGTTAATTGATAATATAACTTAAACTCTATTTTTACAATAACGCTGATTTACATGTTTCTTTTTTGTGATGTACTGATAAGAATTCCTCTTTTGACTTGAAAATATTCTACAAACTTCTTTACGTATATTTAATTATAAAAATTAAGATTCTTTTGTTTTGTTTTTCTATCTTAACAAAGCCATGTTCTTGATTACAACTTTATATTCATTCATTCTTAGCGTTCTATCTATCTATCTACATACATACATTTTTTCCTAAATAAGCGTATTTAATAATTTAAAATAATGTATTACTTGAATAAGATAAAAAAAGTAGTATGTTATTGTCATGTGATAAATGTATATAAAAAATTTTCTATACAAATTAGTATATATTTATTATTCTCATATATATGTATGTTTTAATTACCCTTTTAAACAGCATGAATATCAAAATCAAACAGAAACTAATTTAGAACGTGTACAGCGAAAAATGGCAATATTATTAAATGATAAAATGGGTAAAATATTGGAAGGAAATTTAATAAAACTAGCTCGTTATGATGTGAATACTTTACTTTCATCAGTACTATCATTAACTGTAAGTATATTAAATAAATTCATACGTATATAATTTAATTTATTTACCATATTTAAGTATAAACTTATTATACTCAAATGTAAAATTTTAATGATTGTTTTATTTAAATTTATAAACTACTTTGTTAACAATCAAAATGTTATTGGATCTACAATTGATGCATTTAATTTGTATAAATCCTGTCGATATATCATGGATTACATCTAGCTACTTTAGATTTTTCAATATCCTTTTTTCATAAAACTATATCTCACTGAATGCAAACTTTATAATGTTACTTAAATTATTAATAATAGGTGAAGTGATTTTGTTATCCTGATTGATTTTCTAATTATCTCTTTGTTTAACGTGATAGGTTTAATTAGTAAATATTTAAATAATCATGAGTTACTTCAAAATAACCGATCGTTCGGCAAATTAGAACTCACAATTCACATTCGGAAAAATAAAACAAATATTTCAGCAAAAAAGATTTTCGTATTTCTTTTGGATACTTGTTTTGTAAACATCTGTAGAGTGATGATTGTCTGTAATAATAAGTGTGACAAATAATATAATGAGTAGATACCGTGGATTGCAATTCATGATAATAAATAGGACAAAATAATATTTAATAATTAAATTATGAGACTGTCTAAAATTTATGAGATATATAGAGATTAACAGTTAGAGATTCAACTGTAGCTTTTGAAGTGAAGTCGTCGAAAAAGGATTTTTTTTCATTGCATTATTCGTTTACTGTCATTGCTTGTTGTTGTATCCATTTGGTTTTTTCAGTGATACATTGGCTGTCCTGCAAACTGTGCTATAATTCTAACCCAGAGATCTGACTCGAAAAGAAAGGAGTAACTGAGTGTAAAGTACATAGGTTATATACAACAACATTGTTTGGTTTACTTAACTATTGATATAAGTTAAAAATTAACATGTGGGTTGATTAAATAATAAGATGAAGCACCGTAACCGAAACCTCAATCTGTTACGCAGCGATTCATGTAACCTGATATTACACCCATTACTAGTCCAAATCCACTTGTGATGTCATCGAATGGTAATTCATTTCGAGAGTTTATGATAACAAAATGAACAAGATGAAATATTTGAAAAATCTTTTCAAATTACTCATTTGTATTCAGCAGGGTTCTTTGTGTATCTTTAAAAACCGGTATGTTGTATTTGTTTACACCATCTAGAACTCAACTCATATATCTGATTATACTATCATTAAATTTTACATTACGCTAATCTGTCTATATTTTAATTACTACACGAAAATTGTTAATATTAGTAATCATGAGAATAATAACAATAGTTGGTAGTAATTGGCCTTTGTTTATTGTGTCATTATTATAATTAATTTTATCTACATCCGGTCAGTCGGTTTTATCTGTTTTAATTCTATAAATGTTAAACCATAATAACGTGTTTTTGTGAACCATGTTAATGATAAAGTTATTGCAACAGATATTATTTTATGCTCATTTGTATTACTGCTGCCATTCTACTCCAATAACTTATTACCTACGGTTGTTGTTGACTCTCAATACTAAACTAATGGAAATAATTTGAATAACAAAAAGTACAGATCATGAGGAAAACTCCAAAATTTTCATTCAACCGTCATTATTTTATTTAAACTTAATACTATGCTTTCCAAATCTTACAAAACGTTGCCCTCTTCTATTTGAATTTCTTCACTGTAAAATCATATCTTCTTAAATAATTGTGCTCGTTAAAATTGAGTTTTGCACACTTTTTATTTATTTCACACAATATGCATCATCAAGAAAAAACTAAACTTTAAAGTACTAACTTCGATTATCAGAAATTCTAATCTATACGAACTATTACAGTCTTATTAATGATCCGAAAACTATATCCACTGTATTTATTTCAAAATTTATAATTTAAAACTTTTAACATTGATCTTAATAGAGTATATTGTGAATACCTTTCACCCATTTATTCTCACTATCAAATATACGTGTATCATTTTAGTCAGTATTTTCAAGTTTTATCGTATTATTTGATTTTCAGCTTGTTTTCTCTTGCTCTAACTTATCGTTTATATCCTTCTTTAAAATTATTTACTGGTGGTAAGTGGATTTTTTTCCATACTATTCACAGGTGATGTTGAATAGCTTTCCTTCCTTTTCTGTTTCTTGCCATAAATTTTTGACCTATTCATGAAGAGTTTCAAAACAAAAAGAAAGGAGAACAAACAATAAAGCAGATTATACTTTATAGGGGAACATAACTTTCTAGAAGATCAAAATTGAAAAAAAAAGATTTTTCTCTCGTATTATCATGAATTCATTATTTTTTTGACATAATTTAGGTCAAGAAAAAATAATCTCAAGATTATTTTTGTTTTACTCTTAAGGTCAATTAATATATATTCCGGTTTGTTTTTATTAAACATGTGACATAATTATATTCAGGGAAAAATTATGCTCCAACAATTTAATCGCTTAAACTGGCACTTACTGTTTCTTTTGGTTTCCAAATATCCTATTCGAACGAGTTAAATAGTAATATGTAGACCGATAAAATAGTCATAAATAAGGAGATATGAATATTTTCTCCTCATCGTCATTTGTATTCTTTGTTTTCTATATGTTTATGATTTTGTATTGTATCATAATGTTTGTATTCGTTAGTAATATCTTAATTATTCATAGTTCGATTTCTGTAAAACAAAATCAAAATCCCAGGATACAATTATACAGATGGCTCCATTAAATTTTCATCTTCATCTTTAATTTTATTCCATTCACGTCGTGGAATCATTCATTCTACTTGTGTGTTTTTTGTTTCGGCGAACATATGGTTTTTTGTTTTTTTTTCACTTGTACAGTGTTGATAATTAGAAAAATATAATTTCTATTACTTGGAAAGGAAATTGGATTAGAGGTGGCCTTAGTGACCTGAGAGCATGACCTCAGTGCCCAAGGGACTACTTGATGTTGGTTACACACGACCTTTTTGTGGGTAATTCACGTGTTAGCTCCGTACTTGTTGAGATCTTACTGAAGGAGACGGATATCCATTGGATAACACGAGATGTGCACTTTTACGGTCGACATTTTCTAACCCCACCCCTCTTTGTGGGAAGGCAGCATCGCTGTTATGCTGTCTGTCTGAAGGAAACACCTTACTGCCGTCACAACTCTGTACAGTCAGATGTACGACTTCGCCTTTGGACCTTGGGTTTGTTACTTTTAGTGTTACCGCTCTTCAACCGACCTATCTGGCATGGTAGGACCTTGAAGAACGACTGTTCCAGCCAGTATAGTTCGACTGGTTCATCACGATAGACAAGCCCGACCACCAGCAGCAACAACGGTCGGGAATTATCATTTCTAGTAAGCAATAACTGTTAAAATAACTACAGTTAATTAACGAGTTGTGAATATCGTCTGCTTAAGTAATATACTATATGTATGAGAACATAATTCAAATTCATATTTGTTATTATGATTCATCATATTACGTAGTTAAAATTAGAAATGATTATCTTAAAAACGATACTGATCAACTGTTATGATTAATAACATTGGAGTATCAATGTATATATTAATTAAAAAATGATAATGCTGACATGTATAATGACAAAATGTATTTAAGTGTTTATAAAGTGCATTATATAATACAAGTAAACTTTAATAAATAAACCTTTTCCTTTCTGTTTGTATTTGGTCCTCATTATGTAATTCTGTTTAATGTGCATTCAAATTGTGATTGTTTGAAAACATACTTTTTTTAATAAATGTTTTCGACAGTCACTATCTTCCATCTACTTGAAATAAAAAAGGGTTTCTACCAATTCGAGTGCTTAAAATATTTTTTCCCATCTATCACATATAAGATTCATACACTACATGGTAACTGTCTCTCGTCTCTTTTTATAGTGTTGTCTTCTAGTCACAAACTTCAATGATGTACATTGTTCGGAATTTAAATGAATTCAACTGACTGACTGCTAAAAGAATAAAACTTGCATTCAGAATTCTACTGTTCATCCCTATCAAACCTATATATATATATATATATTTGAAATTCAATTTTTACTTAAATTTTTAAATGGCGCATTTCAATTGCTTGTCATTATTACGGATAAGTTACTTCTAGTAAAATAAATTGAACAGAAAAAGACTATTCAAGTGATTATAAAGCATGAAACTTTGAAGCAAAATCATTGTTTAATTTGAATTCTATGGTGTGTTTAAGAGTACTTATAAATTAGTTAGTAGTAATCTTCATAGTTACTCGTAAACACACACTAGGAAGTATGCTTGTTCAGTAAATTATGAATGACTCAAAATCAATCGGTTTATACAGAATTTTCCTTCAATTCTATTCATAAAAAGAGGATACTTGAAACGAAAGATTTAACTTAAAGAGTTAATAGAACGTACATAACTGCCTTACCGCTTTTAATGGTTACAGATTAATTGTTTTTTTTTATCATTGCATTTAAAATGAATTAACGGTACGTAAATCCCCAAACATTCTCATTTCCATTCGGAATTTTATAAGTTCTGTGTGATGATCGGTGATCTTGGCCCCTGAATGAACTTGAAGAAGTTTAGTTTTAAAGTGTTTCACTCATACTAACTAATGTTAAATGGTTTGATATTATCCAACCCTTAGTGCTGATTAAATTTTGTGGATCAAGTCACCACGTGGAGGAGTCACTAGGCTTGGTAGCTAAGCAGAGTATTGTATTTCGTTTAACACTAAATAGTTCAAATAAATTGAAATCCCTTATGTTAATGGATAGATTGCGATTTTATTAGTAGGATTTAGCTGATACTAGTGAGTAAACGATATGGCTCTATCTTGTTATAAGTGATGGTCGACTGTTGTGACTCGGTGGTAACATCTTTAGCTCTAGCACTAGATGATATGAACTTAAACCCCACAGAAAATACCGATTTTCTAAAGAAAAACGTTCAAATATATGTCCTGGTGATGAGAGCCATGCTTTTATACTATACCGCTTGACTACTTAAAATAAGCTTATATGCAGAAAAGTTTGGTAGGTTCTCATTGCTTCTTAAGTATGCATTTTTCATGACTTTGTAAACAATATGAGACGGTGACTTTGAGATATATGTGCTCTTTTAATTCAAACTATTAGTGCCATACTAATGCCTAATGCTTTCAAATGCGAATTGATTTCTCACTAAATAACAGTAAAGTTTCTTATCTCTAGAATTTTTTTTGTATGAGGAGGAGGATTAGAAACAGAATAAGATGTTATCTGCGTAGTCATTTTTTCATTTGTTTTTTTTCTCCGTATTTTTCCAAGAAACCTACGGATGAAATTGGCAAAGCATATGTTGAGTTTCTTCGTGTCAATTTAGAACAAATGCGTCAAAAGGTCTCTGATGAACTGTATATTTTATCAATTATGGAAGTAAGTTGTGTTTTCCTCAAAACGAGTTTTACTAGTATAACAAGCTGCTTTTTTAAAGATTTATATTACTTCATTGTATATGACTAAACTGGTTCAGAATTTAAAAATAATTAAGGAAGATTCTACCCTAAGCAAACGTTTAAACCAGTAACCCATTATGTCAGTATATATATATTCACATCATTCACACATAATTAGTTTAGAGAATCAAATTTTGGTGATCCCTATTACTTTTTAAATCTCTTTTCCGTCCTGTCCCTTCTAAATCTGAATTCATTTCATATCATTAATCTTTATATGTAGGTTGACTTTTTCATTTCAGTTGAAATAAATTTATGAATATATTTTTCACTTATTTTATGATATATTAGTGAGTGAAATGACTCAATGCATAAATAATCACAGTCACACCATGCAGAGAATATTGCTTTAGGTTTCTGTTCATTTCTATGTGAAGAATAAGAATTTTTATTATACTGCTTCAGTTGGTAATTATTATACGTTTTTTGCACAGAGAAGATTGAAACAAAGGAGCTGAAGTTACGTAAGGGTTTGATTCGTTAAATTTCAAGTAACCACTTCATTTAATCCAATCACTAAGCTTCGAAACTTACCTATCAAATAAGTATTTGTGTCACTTCAGTTATCAATCCTGTTTTCTTATGTATGCAAAAGTGGAATTAGGCCTTCAACTTTTTTCCTTATTTCTCTTGCGTCATTGCTACACCGTTTATTCTTGTCAGAAATGAAAATATTATCACCATTAAGATTGAACTTTATTTTTTTGCAAACAAAATTTATTTTAGAGAAACATGATATTTTGTCATTATATTCACATAAAGTGGGATGTAAACGTTTATCATAATTTTAGTGTTTGGATACTTTACTTCCAAATCGATTGGAAATTTTAATTTCTTCACATAAGCTTACTAATCTCACTCAACTTGACCTCAGTATGAACGTGGCCTTATATATCCTAAAGAACCTATTCAGTTTAACATGTAAACATATTCATAGTCCTGTACTTGATAAAAACTTTCTCCCTCAAATCCTATATAGAGTGGGTATCGTACAGTGCCTTGTCAAAATTAATTTATAATTATGTAGAAATTTATTCAATGTTTCTTTTTCTATTATCTCTCGCTTAGCATATCATTTTTGTGTCAAGATTAGAATAGAATGAAATACGGTAGTGGGAGAGAATTATACTGAAAATATTTACGATAAACGGAACAACAAATAACTGTAGAATATTGACTATAATTACATATAACATTAAACTCTAAAAACAGTAGTAGTAACAGTAATACGAAGAAGAATCTTGATTATTTAGTCCATAGAATAGTGCAGGGTCATTTCCGATTGAGTTTGTTTTCTAGTCATAAAACTTCACTTTACTATTATCATTACTAACACTGTTTCATTTATAACTCATATACTTTGTGATATTCTGGAACTCAAGATTAAATAACATGTAGAATAACTTAGCTTAAATCTTAAAGACTAAATCAATGGATAAAGTAATGTTCGAAGGTGTTAATCTTTTAACAGTTCACGTTAAAAATTGATCCTAGTTAGACGAGCATTTATGATAGTGCTCAAACTGATTGTAGTTAGGGAAGTAAATCACTGAACATCTACTTAGTAGGCGAGTGGTTAAGCGCTCTCCGCGAGATCTTTTGTGTCCTGGGTTTTATCACCAACAAAATCGTAGATCCCTCTACTAAGGAGAAATCCTATACTAAAATAAAACGCCTGTCCAGTGTTTACATTTTTTCAGACATTGTTTTATTACTATCATTTCGTAATACAAGCTATGAAACTTAGTAGTGTCCACAAACTTTTTATACTGATAACTTTTTCCTTATGTACGTATTTAAAAGATAAACATATATATCAGCTGGTTTTTGTCACGATAAATATAGATGGTTCAAGGCCGTGACCATTGTTTGTTTACTTTACAATCTACACTTCTGTCTAGACATGACGGTTTAAAGAAAGTATAGAACAGTGTACAGATATTCTTGATAATCAAAAATATGTAAGCTTTTACGTAAGTTTCTGTTTAATGAATCATAAGATGAAAATAAGTAGCACATTTCAGGTCGTCTGGATAATAATAATAATAATAATAATAATAATAATAATAATAATAATAATAATAATAATAATAGCTTTCCAAGTGTACTTGTTTTTCTGTTTTTATTAGAGAGGATCTCCAGTCAGCTTATGCTTTATTTACTCATATTACTTGAAATGAATGAAGTTGCTTTAAAGAAAAGTTCTATTTCACTATCTTGTATGTATGTATTTGTAACAAACATTGATGCTTTGGACCAATTTAGTGTTACGTTCGTTTTGAGGTTTCATTTCAGTTCAAATAATTGTATAATTCCAGTAGGGTCAGACTACAGTCGTTAAATACTTTCTCGATCCAAAAAAAATAACAATCATATTGTTTAAGCTGTATATTCTGTCTAATTAAAGTAAGAACTATAATCTATTACTACTGAAACAATTAGTATTTAAAACTTCAAAACAACACTATGATAATTCTCATCTGTTCTGTATACTCTAACAAATTCAAGTTCACCTAGACATAATATATTTTTGCTTTTATTTCATGTTTACATTTAAAGGATATTTCTTGAAAATTGTTGAAAAATTCTAACCACTTATATCTTTATTTGATTAGAAAAATGTTCATCTAAAAAGGAAGGAGATGTCTTATCTTTAGATTAGGTAAAAATCATTTCAAAGTGATTTTTATCTGTTTACTCCGTGATATTCCATGGTTATTCATCTTTTCCTTTTTTTTTCTCTAAATTAATTTTCTTTAAATTTTATTTTGTTGTAAAAAGACATGGTATATGACACAAACACGAATGATCAATGATTGGCTTATTGAACGTAAAGGAAATGCTTTAAGTCCTTATCAATTCACATGTCTTTCCACCATTATTAAAGTGAGTAAATCCATTTTTTGTTATGTAAAAATAAATTGAAGAATATTTTATTTCTTAGATTATTACTGTTTAGCGATATATTGTGCGTATATACATTGCTTGGACTAACGTACTGCCACATTTTTACTAAGTATACAATTTTGAGTACTGTAGTATTTTGATGAGACAACATTGTCAATTGTTAAAATCATTGAATAGATGAACAAAATGAAATGTTGTCGAGTAATGACCACTTATGAGACCGTATTAATAACTTAAAATTGGAGTCAAGACTATTAAGTATGTAGACAGATTTTCATGTGTCAAAATAATAGGCTTGTGTATAAAACATGGAAACAAAATAAACATAATCCACTATCACAGGCAGTTTGGGGAACTTAGTTTGTAGGTCACTTATTAGCCAATCAATTAAGACCTCACCGTTAGACGTATTCTTTAAACATTATATGAAATACCTCAACTGTTAAATGGAAATAAATAATTTGAAACTTTCTCGCTAGCTAATCATGGTAAAATGATTTGGTAAATGACAAACGTGCTCTCCTTCTTATTTCTTTAATTTGGATTTATTATTACCATTGATATTCACGAAGGGAGCTTCATAATAAAATAATTCAGCTTACAAAACACAGTTTATTTTCTATAAATTAGTTATTTACATCGGTACACAAAACGGTCCTCAAATGCCCTGGTACGGCCGAGGGTGGGGGAAATCCGCCCTTCCTCTCGAAATGCTCTCACGTACCACGTGTATATAGCCACTGTCAGGGAAGTTCTTATCACTGCCTTCTCGTGGCGGAGGTGTTGTTTACAAAATTGACAGGACGAAAAGCGAATGTTCAGCGCTTCAACCTAGTTGGTGGACACTGAGAGTCCACCTAGGGGAGTTGGAAAACCCTGATTCCAAACCAATCGTGCACATGGTCTCTAGGATCCTGAGGAACAAATGACGTATGAACCAATCAGTGTGACTGCATCCCCCGACGTTGCTCCACTGCCTTGTGGATCAGATCTTTAGGTTAGATTCTCTGAGTGTGACCCCCTAAGAAAACCAACTCCTTATGTCTGGGAACCAGGGCAGTATTACAGCCCTCACACAAATCAAGTGACTTGTGTGGCGCATATGTATTCGGTGCCCCTTCGTATCAATATTTATGTGTTCAAATAAATAAATAAATAAACAACATTTCTCGTAATCATGAGAATTTTTTACTTAAAGTATTCCAAAGAATTATGATGACTATTCTTAAAGACTACTGGAAGATTGGTAACTTTCATTGTCAAGAAAAGTAGTATTAGATAATGAAAGGAAATTGAAACACGTAGACTATCACGACATTTAATTGTCTTAAACAGTAATTATTCAGAATCTATTTGATAATAATAATAAATTCAAAATTTAATTATCAATACAAACAAACATTTGTTGAAAAATTTATTAGCCAATAAATCTAATTGTTTGAAGTTTATAGTATACTTTACATTTGAATTCATACATTAGTGGTTGTAAGTCGAGTCAGGAGATTTCCTATTAGCCCATTTTGATGAAACTGGAGTGTTTATTCAAGATTTTTTGGTGAATAAACTCTTCCCTTGGACACTTTGAGGATAGCCATGGTCACATTCTTTATTAAATTTATAGTATATTACTAATAGTTTTAGTTGATCTTCATGTATTATATGTTGTATACATTTTGTTGTTAGTTCAATCATACTGTTACTAATCTATTCCGAATTGGAATAACCGAAATCTTGAATATTATTATTTTCTCGCTGTGACTGTCTTTTAATGTATTTATTCTTAAAACCAGTAAACGTTAGGAATAAAAAGATATTACGTTAGAAACTCCAAGTTTTACAATACAGTTACATTCAATAATAAGAGTTCTTATAAAAAAAGTTGAAAAATATCTCCTGAGTTTCACCACTAAGTTGTGTTGTTAGATAAAAGTTAAGGTGATTATTAAAGTTGGACAGTGGCTAATAGTGGGAAACAATACATTGGTTTCATCTTATTTGGGATTCGTCAGCCGGATGTGCTTGTATATCAATGTTGATTCTCATATTGAAAATCGAACTTTCTACCTGTTAGTTCAATTGCCTAACACGTTATCCACTAAGTTAGTATGTCCAGATATTCACTTACATGTTTAACGGATGTGCAACTATTAGTAAGAGTTTTTATTCCTTCATTGTTGATGTTAAGAACTTCGATTAATCGGGTTCTCTAACTTTAATAACTAATTATGACTAAATGTCTTTATTGAGGCAATCTGCTCACCATTGATATACGACAATAGAAACTGATCAGTTGCAGTCTTAAATATCAATAACAGAAAAATATAAACTCTCATTAACGAAAGTTATTGTTATTATTTAAAACTGTCAGTGATATCTCTATTGATTATAAGTCAATGTGCCACTATTAAACATCGGATACTTGTTTCTCTTTCACTTGTTTAAAAATGTTTATTCACTTTTGAATAGAGCACATTCTATTATTAATATTTATTATGCAGATTGAAATAATAAATAATTTATTAAGCAATTTACCTACTTCTAATCTCATTCTACACACACATACTGACTTTTAATGATATTGTTTACGTAATATTTGGGTGTTACTGAAAGTTTTTGATATGAAGCTATATATTATGTATTTTTGGCAATAGTTATTATTTGTCAAATGGCTTATTCTTTACATCATATGACTACCAGTTTACGCTTACTATTCTTCAGACTGTTTCATTCCTCATTTCGAATAAGTAAGCTAACAATACACAACTTATTAATAAATAACTAAAAATCTACATAGAATAATTCATTGTATTATCCTATCATTATTACTATGCTTACAATCACCACCTAGGCAACTAATTCTTATCGATTTCAATTGATTGTTTCTTTTTTATTCTATTATCAATACTAGGTGTTTCTTCCAACGTGAAAAGGTCTAAATTTTGTCCACAGATATTCATAAATGTATTTTTGTTGTATCCCAATGAATAGCAAAGTTGTATTTCTGACTTTTTGTAACTTAATGTAAGCCACTCTTTAGAGTAATTAAATAGCCGAATTAAATTAGTACAAGTTTAAATAGTACAAAGGAAGCAATGCACGTCCTGCATTGACTTTCTACCTAATGCTCAATTTATTTAAAATTATCAAGTTCAACCTTGGCATTCATACCTCCAGAGATATTAGTTTTGTCATGTTGAAATTTTTCTCTCTCCTTGCTCATACTGGTTAATTGGTATTTTTTTAACGAAGCAGTTGTTGTAAAGTAAACAACCTACAGTGCTGTCATATAAAACTTAATTAAATTGTGATAAGAATTCCAACGAATTGGTGTTCATATACACTGGATATAAAAAATAACGTTCTACTTTTCTTTACTTAGACAATTTTTAATGTCAATAAATCTACAACTGACTTTTATTGAATGCTTTATAGATATTAAATTTACTAGTAGAAACCTTTTGTCTATTTCCTCCGAAAGTTTATTTGCGTCTTTTTATTTCTTCTGTCAGATTTCATTTTTGAAAACAGCTTATTCAGTTTAGTTCCATATTTCACTGTAAGCTTGATAATACCACCGGGTTAGTTGTATTGGAATTGCGTCTCATCCAATTCGTCATAAATCATGTCTATCACTTAGAGTGAATGATCTATACATGTCGTCATTTTTATTTTAGTTCAACAAGTCATTGTTCCTCATTCAATCTTAAAGGAAATCCATCTTAAAGTAATTCAATGATCAGTATTGCATCCAACTGATAATTCTTTGAAGGTTCGAAAAGGTTTTTTTTCAGAGACATCACTTAAACGATGAGAAGACAGTTTATTAAAACTTTCTTTATAACAGCTTTTAAGGTAGCTTTATATTTTGAAATACTTTATATCAGAATTCTATATTAACTATTTGTGTTTGCAAATAATTATTCACTAAATTAAGTATTTATGAGATTCACCTATTTCTTCTATTGATAATATTACGTTTTAGAAAATGTATTCCGATTTTGAACTTCAAGGTATAAGCCCAGATGCATTGGATACAATGGCTTACAAAACAATTATGCAAAGACTTCAAGTATGCTAACTTATTTTCACATAATATCAGTTGTGATTGTTTCTTGATATAAATTTATTTTACTGTTTGGTAATCTTCAGTAAGGCGTTGTGGAGATTGTTGAATTTCATTTAAATCATGAACTAATCTATGTTACACCACCACTGGAAACTTGGAAGCACTAGACGACCGTTTTGTCCTAGTATGGAACTCCTCACCAGTGCAAATCGAACGAAGGTTCTTCGGTTTCACGCGCGAACGATCAACCTCTAGATTAAACTACTAAGTCAGTATCCAACGGTGTTAACGTCTAACTTTAATAATAATCACTTGTTTAATATTTTCCAAATGTAATAATTAATTTTTCTGATATTCAGATATTTCAGAAGTTTATGTTTGGATTAAGTGTAATTATATCCTCAAGATTCAGGGTATAGTTAAGTTTTTTTTGGTGCCATGAATTATTTTACCCACAATTGAGAATTTCTCCTCTGTCAGTTACATCACAGTTATCCAATGATATTAAATTGTAATCGAGTTTACGAGGATTTCTCAAACAATTTATTGTAATATTATAAAGATGATCTTGAAACAAACGGGAATTTTAGCCAGCTGTTTGTTTGTCAGGTGGTAGCTTTTGTTAACGGGTAGTTTAAGGGAAATAAACAACAAAAGTATAAAGGGTAAATATATTCTAAATTATTGAATTTTTTTAAGCCTTCTACAGATTGTTTTGCCTGTAAATCCAAAACCAATAACATCTAAATCCCTCCAAATGTTTGTCGATTATCTGTCCTATCAAACTCATGAAGACGCAGATTTCTTGAATTTTCATCATTACTCCTGGCTAGAATTGTGGATTTAGGGTAAAGGTTAAATGTTAAGGGCTCAAAGTTAGAATTTAGGGACAGGATTGGTATGTTACATAAAATCGAGCATTTGATACATTTTACATCATCACTTCCACTCTCTGGTGGTAAAAAATTTCTTATTATCACTTTAAGCATTTTTAGTGCTGCTTAAACTTATTTATTCTGCTTTCTCTACGTCTTATAAAACAAAGCTTATTCCTTTTTGAAGCTGGTATTGAAGCCCCAAAATCGTTTTCTCAATTCTGACCTCACTCTTACATTATCCTCTCGCCCAAGCTATCTTCAAACTTTAACAACAATCTATAGTTCATTCACTTGAAAAGATTTAGGTTAAGTTTATATAACCTATATGGATTAATACTAGGCTACTAAGAACTACCTTCCTATCTTGCCTTTAATCATGAATTAGCCAAAGGTAGGTTATTTCAAAATGAATATATTGATGATTCCTAGAATCCTATACTTCTTCAAAAAGTGATAATTTATTCATGGCTTCAATCATCTTTATGAGGTCATGTATAATATGATGAGATATTCCTCACTTTTTTACTTGCAGAATTAGAGTGTACAATAATTATACCTCTTCTTTCTTAGTTTATATGCTCTTTCAATGTACTTATTTACTTTGTAATATTTATTACGGTAATGTTTTTATATGAATTCCAAGGGATTCAAAAAAATTCATCTTATTGCTTGTATAATGACTAGCAAAATGTAAATACCGATCAACATGAAGCACTAGACAAGTAAACATAATGTTGATTACTACTCGATGATTTGTCAGTATAAACTATTTACTTTATTGTTTCACAATGTACATAATGAAGTTTACACAAAGAAGAAGACGGAATAATATCCAGCCGAATCTAAGCACGTACAGAAAACAATTGGTCTTTTCTAAAAGAAAAAAACTATAAATTTATTTATTAAAGAAAAAGTAACTCTGACATCACAATATATTCTTTTCATTGAATGTTTATCATTCAACTTCTTCCGCTGATAATACTATTTATGTTATGTGATGATCATGTAACATAAAACTATTGCTTCCAATTAGAAAAATAAGCTTCTGAAAACATAACCATGATTGTTATTTCATGATAAACTTGTTAACAAGTCTTCAACAAGTAAAATCTCCAATATATATTCTTTACAATATTCAACGTTAGTTTTTAAAATGAGTCTATGATAAACCTTAAGGGAAAATAACGATTAAGTAAACTAGTTCCTAAAGAGATGGATATAACTTTGTTTGAGTGAAATTGTGTTCCTTGTGTTCTATGCAGAAGAATAATAAATTTTTCACTATTTTTATTATAGATGGAAGAAACTGCTCAAGCTGTTCGACCTGATATAGGAAGTAGTCCAACACGATCGATACTTGGCACAATAACAGGCAGTCTAAGTGGCATTCCCAAACCTGGATTCCTTAGTAAAATGTAACAATTATAAGAAACAAGACAACAAAGCACTGTCAACTCGTCCTTCAATTCACATACACATAGATAGGAGTTTTATGTTAATCTTCAAAGACTGCTGTAAATTGTTCTTTTCCTGTCTTTTATTTCCTTATATTTTTGCCAACTATTTATAGTTATTTCCATACAAAATAGAAAAATAAACTCGACGTTGATAATTTTGTGCTATTCTATACATTGAATTTCTTTCATTGAAAAAAATCTTTGGATAACATTTTATCTTAAGGATTTATTAGAAAAACCAAAAAAATCAAACTTTTCTAATTCTTTGATTAATCATCAGTGAACTGCTAATGTGTACTTGTTTGCTGGGAAACAAAACAACAGTAGGATTTAATGGATTTAGAATTACTAACAGAACTGTGGAAAGTTTGTGATGATTTTATTAGTAGAGTAAACCATGGATTAGACACCTTCACATTGTGTGCTTCTTTTCCCTAAAAATAAATTTTATCTTTTAATTCATTGTTACCTTAATTTCAATTACATGTTCAAACAATAACATCAATACAGGATGTGTACTATTCTCTGTATGTGTATATGACTCGAAGCTATCTTAAAAAGTGTTTTTATGAACAGAATTCTCTGGTATTCGTGGCTGTGGTATTGATGAAGACGACAGCAACAAGATACAGATTGCAACACAAATTACTGCCAACTACCAATTCATCTTGTAAAAATCCATGCCCTTCCCTCTCTTCTAACAATATTCACTGTAGCCTTGTATAAAGAATTATCAGAACAAACAGAAACCAGTTAACGAAAACGAAACTGGACTTTATTCACTCAATATTAAATACAGATAATACTTATTATTTTCTCTTTGATGATTCAGTATTTTTTGCAAACATTTCATTTTTATTACAATTATATATTAACATAAGAAATACATTTATTCTCATACAGCGCGTGTAATGAATTCTTGCAAATGTAAGAAAAAAAATATTTTATTATCATTAAAATGTTAATTGATTCAACTAATTTGAACCCTGCTGATATCACAACTCGATAATGATAACAAACTGTATTACTGATCATTAAGTTTCATTAATTTCTTTACTAATAATATGCATTATAGAAACTAAAATAATCATTTTTTTTATTGTTTGCTCTCTGTAGTTAAAGCAATCTATTATGCTCAAGAACGAGTACTGTTTTAACTATACAATCGTTATTGTTCATGACAACCTTACTCATTATTTGATTACTCTAATATATCATCATACAGATCAGTTTATTTTCACTGATATGTTCTTTCTCGCTTTGAATATACAGTTTCCTTCATACTTCAAGAATACTACTTACTAATTACTATCGTATACATGCAATGGTTTTTTTCTATTATGGAGAGGGATCTCAAAGTTAACGAGCAATATTGCCAATAATGATTATCTTTCTATAACTAGTCTTATAATCATGATTAATGGTAATTTTATTAAATTTCTCAACTTTATATATATATAACATAGATAGTACAGTTATTTGGTAATTTTTTGCTACTGTCACTACTACTCCTTGTAGTGGTAGCAGCAGTAGTTCTACTAGTATGTAACTGGGACTTCATTTTTTCTCATTTTTTTGGAGGTGAAATAAAAAGAATACTATTGTGATAAGTTTTTGTTGATTTCTTTCACTACTTATCAATTCTGGGTCTCGAAAGTAGGAAAAGTAGAATTCTTTTGGTGTACACGCTTCGTATATGCCTCCAAGATAGCTGTCGGAGTGATACTATCAAAAATGAGTAGGAAGCTTTTATTGGCTAACCCAATCGAAAATGCAAGCACAACTTATTCGCAGATATATAGATACATGTTCTTCAGAAAATTAAATCGCATTTCTAACTAACAGTGTATGTTCGTTTCTGCAGAACGGTTAGCCAATTCTTGACTAGTAGTGCGCGCCCGTCAACATTTCTCACTTATTATTTGGCTTATGTCTGGTTAACCCAATGTACCCGAAAGATAAGTCTTCATTTTTGGATCCAACTGCATGAACTCATGTAGGAATACATCAATAAGAGAAAGCAGTAATATTTATTAGTAGACTCACACAATATAGATAGTATCTCTTGTGAAGACATTCCGTATTCATAAAACAAAGTAAGCAATTTATAGAATCAATGTGCTTTACATTTATAAATGATTTGGAAGATTGTACAACATATCATATATGCTTTTAACAGTTTTTCTAATAGTAGCAAAGTTTTTACTCATATGTAGAGGAAAAAGAATCATAAAAAAGGTCCGGTGAAATTAATATATCTTCAAAATGCTCATTGTTATAATTAAGCAATATTGGGTTGACAACTGTTTCACTTTATATGCAGAAGTTTTCTGGATTCCAATCTACTAAAAATAGTGAATACAAAGTAATATCTTCGGGTAGTGTACAATCGCACTTGTAAACTACCTGGAACCTGATCTGCAGATATGCAAAACATTCTAAGAGGAATAGATAGATCTCGCTTACTTCCTAACATTATGCGGATTTGTAAGTACAGTTGGGAGGGACTTTGGGTAACTGAGACTGCACAAATAGTGTAAGACGTGGTGTTGAGTTCAGTGTCGAAGCTTGATTGGTTCGTTCTGATCCATTATTTTCCTAAGTAGAGACTGAGAGAGCTATACACTGATAATATTTAGTAATGGTCGTATGATACAAGGTGGGAGATATGAAGACGTTAATCATCATATTTAGAATCATTAGATGAGTGTTGCCCCACTTGCTTCAAACCAAGTTTTAATTGAATACCATCGGAAGAAGTGAGTAGGAATTTCTGACGTTTTATATTTGTATTGGACGGCATTCTTCATTTCTCAATGGTTTTGCGATTCATGTTGTTTAGTGATAAAATCTTCAAAATACCTTAACAATTAGAATTTAAGAAAGTAACTAATTAAATTTCACATACTTTTTTCTTAAAGTCTTTTCGAAAAATAAGTTGTTTTCGAATAAAATAAACTACTTTCATTCGAAATAACCGGTTCTGAATTCTCTGATAGTATCTGTTTTCATTTCAATGAAAAAAGATGTCCATATTACGAGAGAAATAGATGCAAATCTTATAATATATGGGTTTATCGATGAAATGCAACCTGGTACTTTTTGATCAGAAGTTAACTGTTCTTTTAGGAACTTGCAGTAATCTTTGCGTTATTTTTCTGAATATTTATAAGAATTTCACTCAAACTTAAAACTGACTAATCACACGACCGAATATTTCTCACGTCTCCAGATTATCAATTAATAAAGGTTTGATGGATAGCTGATGTTTTAAAATTGTTAACATTGACATGGAAATATAATTTGAACACATTAAGTTTCTCAACATTGTCTAGTTCAGATGACATGAATTCATTAATTATCACAATTCTGACGAACTACACATTGAAACACTCAAATGCAACTATGAAAACAATCTTTTTTAAAAATCTCAACTTACAAATATTTTATGCAGAATTAGTACATCGTAAAATAAAACTTATGATTCAACATATGTTTTTACAACCATCATAACTAACCCTATCTACGAACACGTAGTCTTGTAATTTAAGTACTGAGTCACTGATATCTACACATTTGTATTTCATCTATTATATAAATATGTAGTTTTAAAGAAAACTGGGTTCTCTGGAAATAGTTTTAATGTATATTTATGAAAATCCGGGATAAATTAATTTCATGTATACACTAAATTACACACCAAGTGCAATCACTAACGCTGTGAACCCGTGCTATGTAACAACTCCTTCTCAAATTTCTTGGCCTTGAAAAGTTCAAAATCTTTCTTCTTATCGAAAAAATCGACCTGAGGAAAACACAAAAGAAATATAAAGAAAATGCATTGGCACAATAATGCAGTCATATATATATATATATATATATATATATATATATATATATATATATATATATATATATATATATATATATATATATATATATATATATATATGATATCGCCCAAATGCCCTGGTACGGCCGGGAGTAGGGAGAGTCCGCTCTCCCTCTTGAAATGCTCTCACATGGCCACGCGTATATAGCCTCTGCCAGGGAAGTACTACTCACTGCCTTCTCGTGGCTGGGGTGTTGTTTACAAAAATGAGAGGACGAAAAGCGAATGCCCGGCGTTTTAACCGGATTCCAAACCAATGGTGCACATGGGCTCCAGTATTCTGCGGGAAGAAATGGCGTATGAACCAATTGTTGGTCACCAGCTTCCATGGGACTGCATCTCCTTACGATGCTCCACCGCCTTGTGGATCAGACCTTCAGTTCGAAGGCTCGGGGAGTGGCCCCCTAAGAAAACCACGCGCTTCGGTTTGAGCACCCGGGCAGTATCACAGCCCTCACACATATCGAATGAGATTTGTGTGGCGCATATGTATTTGTTGCCTCTTTGTACCAATATCTATGTGTTGAAATAAATAAATAAATGATATCCCGACGAGAATAACGAATGGTAACAGTTGGGATCTATTCATGGACTAATACTATACATATATTTTTATTGTATAATTGTTAAATAATTAAGCTATGTATATTCATATTCCGCTTATTATAAGCTTTTATTTAACCTACAGACTATCATTATACGATTTACCATTCTTAAGTTATGCCCAGATTATTAATTACAGTCTCCCACAAACACGGAATTTTTTGGCTAGATCTTATGCATATGTTATTTTCTATTTTATGGAAGGATGTGATCTGTTTGGTTTGTACATAAACCCAGTATGTTTGAAATATATGATTCCTATCGCGGAGGCTGAGATCGGTGTTCTGGTCTCAAAAGGCAGGGCTAAGCAGGAAGAAGGACCGATAAGGACTCTAAACTGCTCGTACGGGTTTATGCGTCATTGGGTACAAGGCTACAAGTTATAACTATATATATGACAATTAATTGAACATAAAATTTGGAATATTTATTACTTTTATGTATTCATTAGTTTTTTTTGTTTCTCTACAAATCGTTATCACTAATTGATAACACTGAGAACTAAAGATTATCAAACAGTTATTATTGTCGTATTCTAAGACTTGCTAACATTGTACAACTTTATCTCAACATATAAGTTTAAATTAAGGTATCCAGAGATTATCTGATAAACTACGATACCAATCATTCACTATGATAAAGATCGAACACATGGCGCTTTCCAGATATAATCAACTAGTGAACTGTTTAAAGTTATTACTGGGCATATTTAGTAAAATCAAAAGAAACAAAATAACAAAGAAAACGTATGTTTATTAAATTGGTAACTTTAGAATTTTAGGTTTTTTGGTACTAAAGTATTAGTTTGAAAATATGTATGTTCAGAAAAAGTAGAGAAGAAATAAATAGATACTATGAGGCTATTTGTTTTCAATAGTTTATGATGTGGACAATATAATTCTTCGGAATTATGAATATGAAAACTTAATCACTGATTAGTATCAATCTGAATATAAAAGTAACTCATAAAGTCTAAATGGTTGTCTAAGGTCTGAACACTGTTGTAATGAACATACTATATATCTTTCAATATCTAAAGAAATGTCCTACATAAATGCTCTACATAAATAACACTGATTATCCATTCAGTATCCAATCAACATTTCGAATTTTGTGGATATGAAAAAATTGAGAGACATCCCATAAACTATGTAGTAGACTTAAATCACAAATAGGCTTATTATCAAACTAACAAAAAACACCATCCATGAATAAAAAAGAAAAGAAAATCAGTCACAATTTATGTGCTGGATGTGAAACAATTAGACAATGATGAAATAAATATACCAATGACAACAAATTTCACTTAGGTTGTCTGTTAATATAAACTAATCTAATAAGAAGTCTCATACTTTGACTACTCATAATTTCATCTGAATTTAAATCATTAATCGTGAAGGCTTAATGTTCAATATTTAACGAATTGACAATATATGAAAAGTTTATTTGTGACCACTGAAATTGGTTAATAAAATCAGGAACCAACGTTTTTGTTCAGCTTTGAACTCGAAAGCGGTGAAAAAATATGACACTTTACGAGTTTTTATCTGAAACAAATCTTTTATCTAAATAGAAGATAGTGTGCTGAATAGTGATTAAATCGAATATCCACTTATATAAGTTCCACTGAGGAACTGTTACCTGAAGGATTTTAATAAGGGAGAGAAGAAAGCAGTTATCTATGACAGTAACGAATGATTATAGCCCCACATAACTAACTGACTGAAGTTAGAAAGTTTAAACCATTCGTTTCTGACTCACATTGAATGGTACTGTATTCATTACGTGATTAACAAATTTTAGGTTTAATCCTGTGTAGGATCTTTGATATAAATTTATGGTAATTTTTCTCAGATAGTTTCACTTTACGACAAAAAATATGCTCTGAGCTCAGCAGTAGATTGTAATTTATTGTTAAACAATCAGTATATTCAAAAATCGACGAAATAACTTCTTTGGAGAACAGTTTTAAAACCTCTAAATAATTATGATTGTGGCGTATGCTACTTATGTCTACATAAGTAGTATATTGATTAGTAGTACAATGCCTAGCAGTAGATGGTTGGGAAGGTCAAATCGAAGAGAACGAGAACAGAGAGTAATTGTTATGGCAATGAAGGAACGATGACGTTTGAGACAACTGATGGAGGATTTGCAAATGAAGTAGTGAACGTATGGTTTTCACATTTTATCAAACAACTCTGAAATTTTGCATTAAAATACAGTTAGTTACTCCCACCTGTGATTTCGTTCATTACATAATGAGTAAAGAAACCTTTCAGGAAATATCATTTTAGTGATAAGTCAGTTGAACTTATCAAAAAAATAAATAACCCAAATTTATTTTGATGATAAGTAAAACCTAAATCAATTGAGGAATACGATATACAAAAACCAACTCTAATGACCTATTTACTGAAACATGAAAGTATTGGCCATTAAAGTTTTCATATCAATTTCAAGGTTAAATCGAGATAGCTAATAGCATCTAAGTTGGATATACATGAATGCATCAACTGAACAAGTGAATATACCAAATGATGACTCAGTAGCTAAATGGATAACGCGATGGCATTTAAAGCGAACGGTACTACGTTCGAATCCCAGAGTGGATATCAACTCTGGGGTGCAGGTAGATACAGCTGACGAGTCCCAAATCAGACGAAACGGGTGTCCTAGATTCCACCGCTAGCCACTATCCATCTTTGATTACAAAGCTTGTGATTTAAGGTAATATCGAAGTAATCCGCTCAGGATGTACATATGCCAACAAGAGACTGATCAATTGCATTCCTGAACAACAATTGGAAGATGGAAGCAAACAACACCAAGTGAATTCAAATGATATAATCTTTAAGAAAAACGCTCTTGAAACCTCCATAGTTTAGTTTCATTTCAATTACTGGGTAATTGGTACAATTCTCACTCTATTTACTAAGATACAAGTAACCATGTAGTGATTATTAGTCTATTTATATGAACCTGTGTATATGGTTGCTATGTGAAGTTAAATAATTAAGAGATCTCAAAACTCAATCATACTAACTTCCGTTACGGTCTTAATTGAATAAAGAAAAAAAGATTAAAATGTTGCTGATGATTTATAAATTAAAAAGTATTTTCATCCAATTTAATGTAGAAGTGCAATATACACTGTTTCATGCTATAATATTTAAAATAGAGACTAAGATTGAGGAAACCACCACTTCAGCATCGAAAGATTAAGCTACAAAATTTAATGATCAGAATTTTAGAAATGCTGACGTCATTACAATACTGATATTTCAATCATAGAACAGAACAGTACAATTGCTTGTAGGAAGCTTAGTTAGAAAGAGGTTTCCCATCATAAGCAAATATCAGTTAGAATAATAAACATCAATGAGCACTTATTTAGTTGTAAGCTTACATAAAAGAATAAACTAAGAAACCTGTGATAAACTGATCAGTTTATAGTAGATAGATTCTTTTAACTGCAAACTTCTGGTTTCTTAATAACCCTATGCTGGAGATCAACATCTGGAAAGATTAAAATGAACAATTAACGACTTAAAATTCATGTACCTTGAAACCTACTTTCGTATTTCAAATTTATCTAGCACATATGACTTAAGTATACAGCCAGTAAATGGGAATTTCGCACACATCAAGTAGCTCCATCAGTGGAGATTGATAATACTGTAGAATGCCTTACTGCGTTTATTCAAGATCACTAATGCTGCTGATCATGTTAAGAATGACAATTTTACATGACCTTTCCTTGATTGAATGCCAGAAGAAAACCCTCTCAGTAAGGGAATGCTAAATGAGCATGAACATGTTATGTGTTCCGAAAGTCAGACATAACATGTCTGGATACCACCAGTGGGTGAAAAGTACAAACGTGGCATAACATTGTGAGTTACTCACCTATCCAAGGTTATTGCTTTCAAATCATTATCCGAATTGTATACAGTTTATTCGGACCTGACAATTAAAGCTTCTCTATTGTTTTCAGTCCTTTCAAATGCATAGCAGTTGGGCTAAGTGCCTAGCAAGAGCGAGTATTTTGCAACCGAATCGGGCAAGCAGACTGTAGCGCAGATGAAACATTACAATCGGACCAATACACTCAAAAAAACGCAAGTGAAAAAACTATAACCTAATGGCTGAAATTTAAGTCTCCAAACTATAGAGAAACACGTCGGTGTTTCCATCACACCACTGTGATAAGTCAGTAACAGAGAACACTGAGAACATCACGATTACATCCTAATCACACATTGGTACAAAACACAGAAGCAAAAACATGAATGTTGGTAAATATTAAGACTATCTAATGACTGTAAATTAATGTATTGGTAAAATTCATTGAACCCGAATCATTTTTTGAATTGATCCTTCGCATGAATCAGAAAACTCGACAGCTTACAGGACGGATAACCTGCGTAACGGTATAAAAGTAGATTGGAAAAATGTGAAGATGGCTAGACTAAAATATGATATCAGACATTTGAATGAGCCGTATAGGAAGGTGTACACTTCCTAGATGCAGTCCACAAGATAACAATAGGTTTTCCCATATTCATTTTAGTTAACCAATATTGTTATTAATATTAATGAAACATTTTGCCATATCTTTTACTGGTTTTTTTGTCCATATGATATAAAATGTGGCAGACTAAAAAACATATATTCATGTCGATTCCCGTGGTGTGTCTGTTTGAATTATAATTCATCTATATGTGAGCTTGTACGTATCTAAAAAGGAAACAATGAATTATAATTAATTAGCTACGTACTGTGCTTAAACTCGTAAGATCAGCTGAATGTATGTAATCTAACTACTGGAATTCGAAAAATCAAATACCATACAGTGAACTAACCCATATTCGTGGACACATTTCTTCGTAAAGTTTTCTTTGTTTGGTACATTGTTTTCTTATCAACTTGTCATCAGGTTCTGAATTTTTCGCGATTACATCAGTAACACATTCCCAAAAGGCATCACGTGATTTCCAGCATTTTTCTCTTTTAGATTTAGATATAAAATCTGTCGAGGTTTGCATAAGAGCGGCTAAAAGTTCATATAAGAAAATCTGTGGTAAATCACTTAAGTAATTAATATTGATTAACTGACTGAATAACAAAATTTCCCAATAATGCAACGAATAAAATTAAATCAACCCAAAGTGTATATGGATGAGCAGTATGATTGGATTAAGTATTTTTCCAGATTGAAAGACACAACTTCTGTTTCAATTTTATTAAGTAAAGTATAACGAACAAGAAACACGTCCCATCTGAATCCCTAATATATGTATGAAAGTAGAAAGACAACGAAAGTCTTACAACTAATCCAACCAGCTCAGGAAATGCGATTTCAACAGAAAGTATTGAAGAGCCATTGTTTTCAGAGTTTATAAATCACCGAAAAATGTACGGTATAAACTGGTAAACGATATCTACTAAGATGAGGTTCTAACATGGTACACTCCTAGTGGAATTTCATTATTTGTGAAAATTCATATTTACAACAAATTAGATGGCATCCAGGATGATCTAGCATAACAAAGATCGTATATTGTTTACCCATTCTCTTGAAATATTCACACACGGATATCAATAACGGTCAACCACACTATGATTATAACATAGTAAATTGTTTCATGTAAATGATATGCAATCTCAAAGAAGCGTCGCAACCTAGATCTATAATTTCCTCAGTACTAGTGTAGTGAACGAGAACACAAGTGGGAAAGTCAAATGTATTTGTATAGAAAATTACAGAACGTTTTAGTAAAATCTGAGAACTACACAGTAAATACTTCATTTGCAAAATGTTAATCAATCGTCTCAGACCTAATTGTCTCTTCGTTTTCACACCAATCACTCTCTGTCCTCATTCTCTTTTATTTGATCTTCATAACCTTCTGCCTCCAGGCATTTCACTTCCTATGGATGATACATACAACACACTACACTAGTAGTCACCTGATGAATTAACATTTACATCGCGAAACAATTATACTGTTGATCGGATTGATTACAAGATATTTTGATGATGAGTATTATCAAAATCGAAACTACCATCCCACGGACATAATATTTAAAGATGAATCATTTTTTAATTGTCTAGTGTTGTCGACAGGTTTTCTATTCGAAATCGCACAACCAAGAAAACATTATGATCTTTGGAACAAAATTAGGACAGATTAGGTTATTTCTAAGTGCTTATGTCACTACCTACTATATTCCACTAGCATATAAGGCACTTTCGCATCCACAATTCTATAAAAATGACAATGACGTGCAATAACGATTGTCTAAAGAATCTTTGCAACGGATAAAGTGCAGTGACAAAAGCATAACTCAATGGAAGTAAAGACCGTGGTATCAAAATTTGGCACTATGATCTGAGATACATATTGAGTGATCACCAGAAACGTTAGTTGTTAGTAACTTCCAATCTCTTGAAAAATTACTAATCCGATATAGTACTTGATTTTTTGCAGTAGAAAAAGAGATTAAGTGTTGATAAAAACGTAGCAATCAATAAGTTAATCAGCCAAATCCAATGTAAAATTTGGTACATCACTATATCAGTAAACATTCCCACACCACGTCACAAAGAGAAAATGTTATCAAAATGAATGTCAAAGCCATAAAAGTAGCAACAGTATCAGTGATAGTATAAAGAAATTAGGCATAGAGAGTATGATTCGAGAAAGATGAATAAAAGGGATAAAATAATTTTAAAACACAGGATCTTAGGAAAGATAAAGAATGAGTGGGTGTGTATCACTGCAATCAATTCTGAGCCGTGTGATTCGTCTCAAATAGCTAGTTATGATAATTGAGTGGACCTCAGCAAGGTAGTCAGAATTTACTAACATGGCTTAGTCTTAAGGTCAATGACCTCACGGACCGCTGCGAAGTTTTATTCTGAACGCCCCTAGTTTTCTTCCAACTCGCTCCTAGGTCATCAAATATCATGAGTCAAGGTAGACGGTTGTTGAACATACGTAATACACGTCTCAACCACCTCAGTCAGTGAAGATTTACAACCTGCATTTAGCACCATGCGTCTAGCTTCAACAGTACTCATTCAGCGGTTTCAACATACAACAGTAATACTTTGAAAACACTTATAGTCAAATATTAGTATTTGAATGGTTAAAAAGGTGAAAACTATCTACACAGATTCCATGTGTTAGGAATGATACAAAGCTGATAATATAGATTACATCCTCTAAGCAACAAGTACTTAATACCCTTTAAAAAAGCGCAAATTTTAAGGATACTCTAAACCGTTCTACATTAAACTCAACAGATAAGTGGTATTGATTACCAACAACACAACAAGATTCCAGGTATTAAAATTAATGCCAATTTTCATAATAAATAAATAAATTAACATCTATACTGATTAAAATTCAATGTACACAATTAACGTGAATTAGTATATGATGAATTATCTAATTCTGAACAAGACAAAGTGCATTAATTTTCAGTTACAAACGTTTTAATAACTAAGTGTTTGAAATTCAGACAAATAATCATTTTGCCTACAAGTTCCTTCACATATTTTTAGAAAAAAAACAATAAAAAAAGTTTCTAAGTGCTTATCCTAGTCCGGTAACTAATTTTCCATTTAAAGAAGAACATACAAATATAAATACACGATAATATTCCAGTCAAAAAGTTTGAAATTTCAATACAGAAAAGCATTATCATTGACATTTGTTAAAATTCAATTTTATAAAATTCCAAATATTCTTAAAAAGAAATAAGAAGAGAATTTGTAGCTCATTTCACTTTATTGATCTTATCAACAATATGCATAAACGATTGGCATTTATTATTATTATTGGGACTATAGTGCGGTACAATGAATGATTGAGTACAATAAATAAGTAAAAATAAGTCGGACGTTTTACTAAGAACAAAAATGATGTGAACATAAGTTGGTATATACATATAAATAAATATATAGAGAATATGTAAAGCATAAACACTATTTCCACTTGGGTTCTGCTTGTAAGGAATCATGAAGCTTCTCCTGATGATGTTGACTAGAAGGACAATGAAACTATCACAACTAGACAACCCAGTTAAGAGATGGCTACTTGACAAAAGTCATCCTACTGTGCCACAAATCTTCTCTACCATATAAAAATTAACCTAATCACAGTAAGTTGGTAAAAGTGAAACCAAGTTCCAGTGTCTTTTATTTGTCGAGTTAGGTATATATGAGGCTAATAGATAATAATACATATAAATCTTCGGTATCAGTATGAATTTATATTTGTGCTTTCTATTAGATACTAATAAAACTATAGATTTTAGAATTATATTTCACTTTCTATACTTAAATCAGATCTACAGTAATGTATAGAAATAGTAATGAGGGTTACCAGTTCCCAGATTATTGGAGACTTCATTTAAATTTCCTGAGACTAAGTGAAATTATGAAATAAATCGCTCCATCTAACATTTAGATAACAACTAGTAATTTCAAAAGTCTTTCTGTACAAACTTTTAATAAGTATAATTACTATATCAGATGGCATTGAATTTTTCAAGGAGGATCATAAACCGAAATTCTCTGACTTTAGTTGAAAAACGACAAGACAACAATGTGACATCTAGCATTTCATAAAGCTAATACTTTCAAAGATTTGTAAATCAACAAAGTAATAATAGTGACTAAACAACGCGTAAACAGAGTTAGCCATCTCGCTGCAGAATTAGAAGTAAAACACAGAACCGAAACAAGTTAAGTTCTCATTTTGAACAAACGATTATCCTAAATATGAGGGCAAGATGACAATGGAATATTATCCAAAAAGCTAAATAACCATCGTGATCATCTCTCATTATCAATTACTGAACCTTAAAACATTCAAAAGTAAATGGGTAGTACTCTATCTAAAAGGTCCAAAAATTTATTTCGATGGAAATGTTCTCTAAAATATTTAAGTGCCAGATATAAAGGTAACAGTTATATTTTTTACTCACTCCCTGTATTATATATATGTATATACATATATAAATAATTCATTAGGAGAAACGTTTAAAGGATTTTATTTCAAAGACTGAGACCTGTATACATTCAGTTGAAATACACGCGTCAATGAGCTGACAGTAATACTTCTCTTTATTAAAGTGATAACACGAATTTTTCTGAAGATTGAGATAATCTAAGTGTGAATATTAGACCAATTGGTTCATAGAATAACCACGATTTACTCTTTTTAGAGATAAATAATTTTCTACGAAGACATCAAGACGATAAAAAGATTCTGTAATGTCATACAATATAATAAAACTAAACAACTTGGTTGTTGATTGTATGAATAATGAAACAAATACCTAGTACTAAAATTGATAAGCGAACTGTCGCATAAGGATTTCGAAATTCCCATGTTCACTACTTATTTGAGAAAAACTATATTTCTAAACAATTATCTAATTATCACTTTAACCTTCATACAATCAGATATAAGAACAGTCAATAAATATAACTGGAAATTGGTGTTTAGAAGACAAACGGATAAATTCGAAGGTGATTTCAGTACCAACCCACTAAATTAACTGATTTTAATCGGACCATAAAAAAATTTTTGTGAGTCCTCAGGAGCAAACAAGTGCGATTCTATTAGGAATCACGACTTAGAATATGAGATTCCGTGGCAACTAAAATACCTTTGGGCCATTAAAGTCAACATAAGAATGACCTACATATCCCAGTTTTGGTTAATGTGTTATCTGATTCCACAATATAACGTCTCCAAACTTAAGTACCAGTGTTTGGTAAATGAAGTAAGATATAACCGGAAGCATTACCGGGAAACGTTATTCTTAACAAAGCATGTCTATGTTGAAGGCTTGGTATATTTACCAATAAAACAACCAACCAAACTCTGTACCACCACCATACATACATAACATCGTTATCGATTAAACAATACCGCTACCAAAAATAAACACATGAAAGTCTACTCCACAAATATTTTTATTCAAAAACTATTGAAAATCTGTAAATACAATAATAATAACACGAAGCAATTGTCGAAATCATATCGCTGAAATATATTTGTCCATCAAAATTTTGGCAGACGAAATAAATACAGAAGAGGTAAAAGTGACACAGTGAACGGCGAATCGATCAGACTCTGAAACAAAAAGGGAAACAAGTGTTGCATATATACAGAACCTGTTTTTTTATGAAACTGAGAAATTACAAGTAAATATATAGTCAACGTATGATAACTAACTTCTGGTGTTAGCCACGTTGATAGATGCTGACTACTTGGTTGGAGTTCGCGCAATCATCGTAAACAATAGTTGGAGACTCTGGGTGACATGGCTCAGAATCGATCACAATAGCGTTGGTGTATACACTCTTTGTCTTTCCTTAAACTATGAGATTAAAATCGCTTCATATCTTCTTTTCTACGAACTAATTCTTTCCCGTACTACGTCCTTAAATGCAATCATTTTCATATATATTACCACTATTCAATTAACTACTTTTATGAATTCGGTGTTCATCTTGTTGTGCTAATGAGGTATGGCAACCTGGACTGACGCATATATGTGCCTGGTCCTACGTTGTAGCTGACTGACTGACTACATGGGTGTAGATTTTATGATGATGATTTTTAGGATGAACGGCTTGCTGGGCAGTAAAAGGTTGAAACAAAACTATAGTAAACCAGCGGTAATGTGGATACAAAGTTTTACTAATATCGGGGAAATATAGAAACCTAAAGGGTAAAACCTCGTTGAGTCCTTTAAGTAAAAAAAATTGTATCTGTATGTTGATTTTAACACTCAAGTTTATGACTTTAAATACATTTATAGTGTAGTTTTTTTAACTTTTAGTCTAAGAAAATATATTAGTTGCATTACTGAACTTTTGATTTCCACATAAGTACAGACTGATATTTGCTTACAAACTCATCTGTTAAGCGTTGGAACCCCCAAAGCCACTGTAGCACAGCTCCAGTTCAAGTATACGTTAAACATTAATTGCATCACTATTGGTAAATGTTAGCTAACAAACTTATTTTACTAACCCTACATTTATATCCTGGATTCCAAAAAGATAAACTTGCGCCGAATTCGGTTATTCGTTTTGATTATTATTTTGAAATCATAACCGTAGAACTTGGTGACAATTTCTTAAAACGAATACTGTTCATTTATATATTGTATGGTGATATTCTAGGTAATCTGTGGATACTTACTTTTTAACAATTTGTACTACATCTTCATCGTGAAGTATATGATCTTTACCTACACGCTGTGGTTGATGTTTTACTGAAGAACCCCAAACAAAGGCACTAAAAAAAATACGTAAAATACTCAAAATTATGAGACATGTAATATTTGAAAACAAAATTATTTGTATTGTTTGGCCAAAAGAAATGTTACATTTAAGCTAGCCAGACTAAACTAAATTATTCAGATAGAACAATAATGTCCTAATGGGATTATTCCAGAATATGAATGACAACTTCATTTTAAACTCAAAAATGATATTTCTAAAGGATATAATTAGTATACTAACTTGGATTCTTAATAAAAAATTGTTTAACAACTAACTAGAAAACATAAATATTTCTTCCGAGATACTCCAGTATCGAGATTGAAATGAAAAGAATTATGGTATTCAGTGAAATGTTGAGTTCCGATTAAAATTAGCTTTCTTTTTAGAAAAATAAACTAACAGTTTTAGGCAGCTAAAAAACTCTTTCTAAGCAGATTGTTAAAATCTGGATTAAATCAAAAAATTAAATAACTGGAGCGAACAGATAGTGAAAGTCCATAAATTATAAGAATGCAACTCGTCAACTACTTGCATGTTCCTGAAGTAAGATATGATAGAAATATTTCCGCATGTGATAATATTGCCAACTGTTTCCATAATTCTTAGGTAGAATACAGTACAGGTTGGGAACTATGTACAATTGTATGAATGTATCAAGTTCATAATATTCAATAACATGTATTTATAATTAACAGTAAAATAAATTTACAATGGTAAGTTGTTGGAGCAAGCTGAAAGGTTATGATGATTCTATTTCATCCAAAAAGGATTAACTCGTAGAAATTTTGAATAAGAAAAAGAGAATTCGGTGAAGAAAATTTTCTTTTCGATGAAATCATTTACTTAAGCTGTACATTCGTATATATAGTTATATGGAAAATATATATATGGCATAAATTTGATATAAGATGTTGACTAGAAATTATTTAGAGCTTTTTAATAAAGATGAATGAAGTAGGCTAAGTTTATATAATTCTGTCTGATTGCTAAGATTAAATAGCTTGCAATTAAAAGATAGAGGTGCATTATTCAGGTTTATATCGAGCAAAAAAGTCTTGAAATATAATGGACATGGAATCTTACTAGTTAAGTGGAGCGACCCAATCGCTAAGATAAGTGACATGACAACACAGACTACTATAAATGATGGGTACTTTGGAGAAAACCTGAAGGACACAATATTTACTTAACGTGTTTATTGTCCCTTATTGATAAATAAAACTTGAAACTGTTCAAAATGACTAGATCCCGAACTACTGAGCCCTGGAGTCAGGTATTCGGAGATCAAACTATTTTAAGTTATCAAACACGACATCATATTTCAATAGCCCATACAGAAATAGCATACAGAATTTTATGTATTTTGATAAAACCACAGATTTTTGATAAATTCAAAGGATATGAAGTGACGGTAAAATTGGTCTGTTCTTAATGGTTCCTTCTTGATAGATATTTATTGGAAATTTCAAATGTAACTTCTTATTTGTTACAAATTTACTAATGAATGGTAAAAATATGTCGAAGAGTTTGATAATAATACATAATTTGGAAAAACAGCTACTGAACGCTTTGTTTGTTCAGAAAATCCAAGTTAGGTGTGGATACTACATAAAAATAATGTTATACTGAGCACTATTTATATGTCACGAAAGAGCGCTTTATCAGTACAAAACACTAGCAAGCCAAAGTAAATATGAAAAATGAAATTTTGTGTAAATAAATATGGGATAAAATTCTAAATTTCGCACTGCCTACTCATCAGTAAACCAAAAATGGGAGGAGATTAATGTTCAAACAGCCGAAAACATTATCACATATTTAAACTAGGTAAAAGAAGTGGTGCATTGTAATTAATGACTCCTTAACATATGGTTAATTAACGATAACTATAAGCATAAATCTGGCTCTGAAACCTGTAAAGAATGGTCGAAGTAGAAATAGTATGCGAATTTGATTCGGATACTAGTTACCACGCAAATGGATCTTATGGCACTGCACCAGGTCTTTGTTGACTGGATCTATGGACCAGAAATTTTGGAAGCGGTCAAATGGGCAAAATGCTCTGAAGTCTATGAACTCGCAGAATATCTAAGTTCTATCACCAACCATAAAAATCAATAGTGACAAAAGTGATTATGAACTACTAGTCTGCAAGGCAAGTAAGTTTATTCTAAACTAATTTGTCTATCTTACCTAACTTTTTCTATGAGATTTAGACTTCTCATTAACTTCTCTTTAAGCTCTAGCTTACTCTATAGTTCGTCGTTGTCAAAGGTGTCATGCTATTTAAACATTCTTACGTTGAATACTAAGGGTTTATAGCATTTATTTTATAAAATTAAAAAGTATTAGGACTAAAGAGAATGTACAGAACTATTTCACTTCATCATCTGATAAACCGTATTTAACGACTGTTCTGATATAAAACTTTCCAAAAGTGACCAGAACATTTAAACAAAAATTTATTAAATCTTACGACTGTTAACTGAACTTACTACTTGAATTCCTTGATTAAAGTCTTGTGCAATTTATTGCAAAAGTCCTCAACAGTATGCGAAGCAGATCTCAAAATAACCGGAGCGTTGTAATCAGGCAACTGCCCTTTGGGTTTTGTGTAAATTCTTATCAAGTTTAAATACTCCCATATTAGCTCAAGCAGATCATCAAAATTCCATTTGTGATGAGCTGAAATGGGCACACAATGAGGAACACGACAAATGATATCTAACTCCTAACAAAATCCGAACAATTACATGACTCGTTTCATACCTCAATGGTAATCTGATCAATTTTGTTGAGAACATATATACACGGAATATAAACACGACTTCCTTCAATCACATCAATTAGATCTTCAGCAGTTGCATCGCATCTAAGTGAGACATCTGCATTGTGTATTTTATATTCACTTAAAATAGTTTTTATTACTTCTTTATCTAATTCAGATTGAGGGACCTGCAAACGTCATTTTTAGCAAAATAGAATGAGGAAAACTTACTAAACTTTGAATATTCAGGCCTCCTTTTTCTTTACGGCGTAATGTAATGTTAGGAGGACTTTTGTTTAATCTGATACCAAATCCCTCTAATTCGTTTTCTAAAAGTTTTTTGTGTTGTAAAGGCTTAAGGACATCTAGCACCATGAGAATGAGAGTGCACGTTCGGGCAACTATCCGTAAAAATTTACTGACGTCTCTTGCAAACATGACTTACCAGCTATCACCTGTTTTCCTCTACCCTTTCCATCTTTGGCACCTTCTATAATACCGGGTAGATCAAGTAGTTGAATTTTAGCTCCTTTGTACCTAATAACGCCTGGCACAGTGGTAAGGGTTGTGAACTCATAGGCAGCCACTTCAGAATAGACACCGGCCAAATTGCACAGAAGTGTTGACTTTCCGACTGATGGGAAACCCACAAAGCCGATACGTGCATCTCCCGTTTTAGCAACATCAAAACCTTCTCCACCTCCGCCAGTACCACCTTTGGGTTCAATAAGTTCTCGTCTAAGTTTAGCCAACCGAGCCTTTAATAATCCTAAATGACCCATGGTATTTTTGTTTTTCTGTGTCCTAGCCATCTATGAACGGAAATTGAGCATAAGAAAACAGGCTGTGAAAATGAATCCATAACATTTGAGTTCACTAAAGAATCTTTATTCATGCAGTACAGTTAATAGAGAAAACTACATAGACGTTTGAAAAAGTGGCAATTTGGAGGTAGACTAATAAGATAATTTAGTTGTCGAGGACTGTTGGATTAAAAGATTAAGTATTCAACTTCTATCCACTAGGTTACGGATAGGCAACCAACTATGCTTGATCAATTTGATAATTCAAGTATGCAAGCCTGTATTTGGATTATATTTTGTCGCATCTTATTCTCACAAAAAACCTTGAAACGAGAAAATTACTATATGATAACAGGTGGTACTATGATGAGTAAAATATATCGGCATTTTAATCTATTATAATGTAGCTGATAATTCACCACAACTACCTGGGCCTGTTAAAGTGAAAGTATCATTACTTTTGACAAATAAAACCAAAACGCTAGAACTTAAGGCATTTTTATGAAATTTCGAAAGTTTAGTGATATACAAACATTTTTATGACATACCGAAGATTACATTTGCGAACAGTATTTCTCACTTGATTACTAGCTCCATCTGGATTGAATGGTTATCACTCCGGTGTAACCTCATACATTTTCTCAAACTTACTTCATTGTGTAATCAGATTTACTTGACAACGAGATGTTGAAAGTCAGATGCCAACAGTATTTAAAATATGAATAGCTATATTTTAGCCATACACACCAGACTCAGTCAGTCAGTAACAACGTAGAACTTCGCGCGTAAGTACATCAGTTCGAGTTGCCATACAACATTAGCACAGAGATACAGTTGTCGATTCAAATCCCGTAGTGGTAGAGGTAGTAAAAGTATAAGCAGTAATCGGAAACATTAGGGTTCGAAGATGTTACTCAAGGAGTATAATCCAGGGAAATAAATTTGGAAAGGGGAAAAAACGGGACATGAAGAATTCAGAAGATTAGAATTTGCAAGAACACAAAGAGTGGATGCACTTAAGCCATTACAAACGATTTTGAGCCATGTCATTCAGGGTCTCTAACCATCGTTTGCTATCATCTTGCAGATCTCAACCAGGTAGTCTGCACCTACCAACATGGCTCAGTCCACTTGTCAGTTACTTTATGGGTTTGTGCCATGTTCTGGTCTGGCCGCCCCTAGCTTTCTTCCGACCTACTCCTACACCATAAAACATCCCACGTCGGAGAGTCGGTGGCTGGGCATACGTAACATGTGTCCCAGCCATCTTAACTGATGAAGTTCCACTACTTCACCAATTGATTTGCCATCCTTACCTAGTAATCGTTTCCTAACAACTGCATTACTTACTCGGTAGTTCCAGGACATAAGAGCAATGCTTCGAAGACACCTCTGATTGAATGCTAGTAACCTACGAATATCCTCTACTCTTACCGGCCATGTTTCACTGCCATAAAGTAGGACGGAACGAACTGCTGCACAGTAAACTCGTCCTTTGGTTGGTAGACGGATATCTCGCCTACGCCATAAATGACGCAAGTTGGCAAACGCTAGTCGGGTCTTCTGTATCCTTTTGAAAGAAGCAAGAACAAAGATTCTAGTAGAATAACATGAATTCATTTTATTTCGTAGGTTCTCGTCAGCTGCTTACAACCTACGAAATAAAATGAATTCATGTTATTCTGCTAGAATCTTTGTTTTTGCTCTTTTCAAAATGATAAAGGGAACTATGTGTATGAAATCTTCTGTATCCGTACTGAGAATTCGTCACACACCAGACCACAAGGGATGATGAGACTTCCAAAATAAGTGAAGCAGTCGACACGCTCAACTACTTCACACATCAGACTACATGTAAGGGATACATAGTTTGCAAGTAAGAAGTGTGATCTATGGTGAAATAATTTGATCGATTCAGAAGTTAATAACTCAAAGTGATTGGAGCATAGATTCGATTTTGTTGTCAAAATCAATGCACAAGTTGGTGTTTCAGTTTACATAGTTTAAGAATAATATGGTCATAAATGAGAGTAAGTGAAAGTATGATTTGCGGACGACCACGAAGCGATACAAAAGTGACCTTGAGAATGTCAACCAACTTACTATGGTTGATTAGAGGTTCTGGATTGGCGTAAGGAATTACAATTAGGATCTACAGTTAGATGTTATGGTTAGGAACAAGGGTCAGGGTTCACATCACAAACTGACACCTGCTATAATGGCGAAATACCATTTACCCACATTGATAAGTAAATTTGGTGTCGATATTAACAAACTCCCATCATAGCCGTAACTGGTTTATCCATGAATTATAGTTTCGCCTGAGAATTTAGGTCATACGTATGTAAAATTGTGATACAAGTGGAAGTAAATGATTATTCGTCAAAACAGTGAGTAGAGTTGTAAATTATATACTAATACTGAGGAACTAAGCCCAAAAACGTTTGGAAAAGAACGGTGCTGAGTGGAAGAGCCGACGTAAATAAAATGAGTTACTCTGAAGGTTACAGTGATCTATAGTATTTATGTTGCATCATGTTTTACGCGATGTCACAATGAATCATTGCACTTAACAAAACTATTTTGTAAGATTAGTTTAAGTATACGAGATATGCCAAGAACGTATTTATTTATTTCAACTGGTATGGGCCCTAAATTCCCTTGCGATTAAAAGCTCTCTATTGACGCGAGCTTACATAAGTTATCAAGTACGCGGACAAACACATCTCTAAGTACAGGTCTCTTGAGTAACTCTTAAGTTTTAAAGCAAGATTTATCTTGAAATGAACAAACAGAGAAACGATACATGGTAGCAATATAATGCGAATCGCTGATACCTAACGAAATATAATTCACTAGGTAATATCGAAGCCAGACCCAACTTTTAGCAGCAATAAAACTCTTAGGTAGTAGGTGATAAAACATTGATTGACTATAAGATGCAAAACATGACACGTCAAAATGAAATCAATATAACTTAGAAAACGCCCAAAAGATAAGTACACAAACAGCTTTACGACAAAGTTACCTCTGCTTCTATTTCGGCTATTTTCTGTAGGATGCTCATTTCCACGAAGTTGCCTGACCTTACAATTTACATAGATCGGCAAGGTTGACCTACAATGCACTTTCAAATAAGAACGGCCGAATTCAGATTTATTTAAACTTACGAAACCTAGAAGTGTAAAAGACCTGTTTAAGTCTCATGGATAGCTATCTTTATTTCGAATAATTTTATAATGGGTCTACTGAATGATCTGTAACAATGTGTTGAAGTGAACTGCTCCTTTTGTTGAGAATTCTTTTTCATATTTATCAGTTAAATAAAGATAACTGACCGTTCTCGTGTGAATTTTTCCGGTTTGATGAACGTTGTTATTCAAGCTCAAAGTATCAGAATTCCTCATTAAGCTAATCAAATTCAACAATATCCCCTAAGAAAAAGCATCTGCCACAAAAATATCATGCAGTTCTTCCGATTACTTATACATAGTCTCCTGTAGAGTTTAGAATGTGACAAGTGACTCTGACACATATAGTTACTTCATACATTTCTTTCCCATGGGATGGATTTTACCTAATAATTAAAGGTTTCCTATCTTTTGAGGAATCCTAAAATATCGTCCCTGAAACTTTTCCACCCTCTACTTAGAATCGAATTCTCTCAACCCGTAGAATCAGTCACCAGTTACATTATATCAACGCCTTAACTTGCAAAACTCGACTATTGTCCATATAACATACTTTTACTGCTGGAACTGATCTACTGTAAAGTTAACTGGGAATAATAAGTTGTTTAACTAAAGTACTCTTCTGCGGAAGGTACATAATCCACTGGATCCTTTCTCTACCAAACCCCGGTTATGTATCGTGCACCCCTGACCAGTTAATAAGGTTCCGAGAAAGGATGGAGTCTCACATGGAGACAAGCTTAGAAAACTTAACTGGTATGCAAAATGATATGGCCAAGCTGTCTCACGTTCTAGCCCAAACCCAATATCTAATTTACCGAAAGTGGTAATTATGGGTTTGAGATACCTTGAGCAATTCTGTATCAGATGATCAGTTATGGATAGCTGGACTATTTTTAATCTGCGATAGCAGGTTGTATAGTACGTTCTCTCCCGGAGCACAAATTTTAGTGCAGTACACAACATCAACCTCAGGCCTGCAATCAGTGTTCCATGTGGCTGAGTATCCTGTGCGTATGAGTGTGTGCTCACTGCCATCTGCCTATGTGCCGTGAACACTAGTATAGTGTGATGACCGGACAAACGCTTTAATCAACTCGATTCTCGTGCGCTATTCAAAAAGGACAGTGTCATTTTTCCTCTGAGTAATTTTCATAGTATTAATTGTTAAATTACGCATCAAAACTACTGTTTTTGCTTTAACTGAATTTTTTCCGTTAAAGTAATCCCCAAGAATACCGCTTCTTCTCCAGTGAAGTTTATCATCTTTACGAGTGCAGATACATGAAAAACTAAAGACACTGGTGCTTAGTCTTCGTCATTGAATATATCTCTGAGCGTTGTTTGTATCCATAGGTGTTAAGTTCTTTCTGTAGCTACTGAAGTCCGATTTCTTATTGTTTTTTTTTAATTTTATTTATATATAAACATAAAACAAATCTATGGAACAACTGAAACATTGTTGTGGTAGACCAGCATGCTATTTCTTCGTCGATGAGGGGATGCAATGTGATAACCGCAATAAGTGGCATCGCATTATGTGCTCCGGACTCACACCAGCTGCATATAAACGATGCTGCAAACCGTTATCATGTTGGTTTTGTAAAGAATGTTGTTCCACTAAGTCTCTGCTGATTCTATAGGCGATCGAGCTGCTAAACAATGCAAAAAAATTACCCTCTGATAAACAGGCAGCAGAAGATGAACAGAACTTTGCTTTCGAGGAAATTAAGAGCGTCATTATAAGCCCGGCTCTAGACTTAAATGAGACCATAAAGGTGAGTCTCATCAGGGAAGCAGATAAGCATATGTATGAAGGCATTGTTACAAGGAGAAAGAAGTGCGCAGAGAAGAAGAAACTACCTATGTGAATCTGTGTGTTCATTTCCGGATTCACATATCAATGTGATACAAAGTATAGGGGAGCCAAGTCTGAGCAGTGTAGAGGAAGTGATCAAGAGATAAAATAAGGCAAATGAGTGGATCACAGTCACACCTAGGAAAAGCAAAGTAAGAAAACAGAATGCAACCTCAGCGCTTGACGCCAAATTGAAATCGGATTGCAGGGAAGAGACGGTTTCAGGAAATAAAACTCCACGGCGTGTCAAAACGGACATCACTGAAAGGTTAATCTTTTTTCATAAGTTAAGAGAACCTTCTGATAAGGAACCAAAGGCTGGATTGGAGTACGACCTCATTCATGACAATTCCTTGATAAGCAAGCTACTCCCGAAACAGCTCGAAGAGTTAGCATTAGTAAGCTTTATAAGGTAGGACAAAAGGCAGATTCTGAAATTCCTCAGAAAATCCGCCTCTTGAAGGTTACCTTTGCTACGGTTGACGAAAGAAATCTGATACTAGGTAACTCACGTAAACTGATTGTATCCGGAATATATGTCCGTAAGGATCTCAGCCCAGCTGATCGTATTAAGAGACGAGATGCGGGAGTGGAAATAAATGAGCGCCACCGAAATGGTGAAAGAAACCCCGTTCTTAAGGGTCTTCAAATTGTAAAAGTTCGGATCGAAACGGTCCCCAAACCACTCTGAGTGGCAAGGTAAAGTTCTCCACAAGATTAAAGGTGTGCTACACAAATGCTCGCAACCTACTAAATGAAATGGCGGAGCTCAAGACAACGGTGGATAATGAAAAACGGATGTTATTGTCGTCTCAGAAACATGGTTGGCATCAGAAGTATTAGATAATGAAATTTAGTTGACTGGTTTTTTATCCAGTAGGGCTGAGAGATTAAACTGTAGGGGAGGTGGGGTTATCCTGTACACGCAAACTACCCTAACCTTACGAGCAGTTGAAACAGTGGCACACTATTCAGGGACATGTGAACTGATGCAATGCAAGCTGAAATGCAGACGACGAGATACTGAATTAGTTGCAAAATATCGCAGTCCAGAATGTGTAGTAGGTGATTTCCTCCTAAGCAAACTTAAGTCCTGGTGTAACGGGGGTAAAAGCCTTATAGTAGGCGACTTTAATGCACCGTATATAAACTGGGTTAATTTAGAAGTACGGTCATCGATAACGTCATTCGACTGCAAACTGTTAGAAACATCGACTGCATTAGCTTTATTCCAACACATTAGAAATCCCACAAGATATGACTTTAAAAGCCCCTCTTCTCTTTTGGATTTAGTCCTCTCACACGGTGATGACGTCGGACAAATGAATTTTCCCACAACATTAAAGAGAAGTGACCATGCAGTCATATTATTCAAATTCATGGCCGAGATTGCCTGTCAAACAGTTGCGCCGGCCCGTCCTAAGATATGAAAGGCAGATATGGAGTCAGTCAACTCCGCAGCATCGGCTGAAAACTGGTAAATTGACTCAAAGGTTTCAACAGAAGAGGCATGGAATTATTTCAGGCACTTGTAAAATCGGGTAACTCAACCGTTCATACCCTGGACAGTCCAAATGAAGAAACACGGCCATCCCTGAATAGGCCATGATATTCGGCGTTTACTAAGACAAAGGAAGAAATGTTGGGATGCTGCTATCAGCATTGGCACAGCAGGTACGACGGGACGCCAGAGATTGGTAGGAAACATGTGTATAAATAAAATTCGGGAAGTTCAAAGAATATATGAAATGCAGTTAGCACAATATGCAGTCAAGCAACCTGAGAGAATATTCTCGTACGCAAACCACAAAACAAGGATGTATTATTGGATTCCCGACCTAATTAAAGAAGGAAGTGAATCCGAAATGAAAGAGGAAGACCAGGATAAAGCAGGTGCTATGGCTGGCTATTTCGGGGCAGTTTTCACTCAGAAACCTCCGCTAGACAGAGAACTAGACCCAGATACAGAGCCAACAAACCACCTGCTCACCGTGAACTTCGATGAAGATGATGTGCTTAACGCTCTTAGCACCTTAGACATGGAAAAGTCAACAGGGCCAGATAGACTACACCCCAAAATCTTGAGACATATTGCACAGTGTATAGCGGCTTCACTGACCGTGATATTTAACGTGTCGGCTGACCGAGGTGTGTTACCTATGGACTGAAAGGATGCGATCGTCACTCCCATACATAAAACAGGACCAAGACAATATCCATCAAACTACAGACCTGTAAGCCTCACCGGTGTTGTAGTTAAAATATTGGTAAAAATAGTCAAAAAGACCACTTTTATTTGATTATCATAGAATTTTTTTAATTACTGTTCTGTATTTTAAACTCTAATCAGTTATTATTATTACCTTATACAAGTTTTCCTGATTATTATTCAGTCTATTATTATGACCTTTGTGTTTGTCGCCTTTCTTCATATCTATCGATTAGACTATTACCTGGCCCATAAATTATTTTCTTCCTTACCCCTTGATTAGTACGTACCCTCATTTGTTATTTATTTTCGAATCCATTTTTGTGATGCAATATTCACTATTCTCCTATAGACATATATTTTCCATATAACAATATATATGAATATACAGTTTAAGTAAATAATGTTGTCCAGAAGAAAGTTTTCTTTACTGAATTCTCCTTTTTTTATTCAATGACACTGTGGGTTATTTTAATCAACATAATGACATTTGTGGAAACCAATAACATGTTAAACAGCGAACATGGTTTTAGAAATGGTTTATCTTGTACAGAGAGCCTACTTATAGCAAGGGAATATTGGATAAAGGCGTTAGACAACGGAAACTCAGTCGATATTGTCTACATAGATTTTATTAAGGCTTTTGACAAGGTGCCAACAAATAGACTGCTATTGAAGTTATAAAATCTTGGTATTGCCGGACCTCTCTTAAAATGGCATAAGGATTTCCTAGTAGGTTGTAGACAGGAGGTGGGGATAAATTCCAAGTACTCCATCTGTAGACCAGTGGTGAGTGGGGTACCTCAAGGTTCCGTTCTATGTCCCTTATTTTTTATACTGTATGTAACTAACCTCCCAAGTATAATACAGTCCCGAA